AGTGTGTGGCTGTGAACAGGGCCGGAGGGCAGGGACACACTGAGCGGGGTGGTGACGGAGGCTGGCAGTCTCGGGTGCAACTGCGTGGCTGGAGGGGGATGAGGGGCGGGGGCAGCACTGTGAGGGGCGGTGAAGACCCCCTGCTCCAGACCTTAGGGGCCCAGTTGTAGGAGCGGGCCCCCCTCTCCCACGAGCCCGGTCTGCCAGCCCTGGCCTGGCCCCCCCAGCGTCCCGCTCCAGCCTGCTGTGCTGGAAGGGACAGAAACGGCTTTGTTCCAGGGGGTGAGGTACGTGGAGCCCGGAGTGCGGAGCAGCTGGCCGTCTCGGGGCCTCGGGGCGTGTCTCATCCGTGCCCACCACCTCTTCTCCCCCGGCTTCCCACCCACCTGCAGGCAGTGCTGTGCAAGGCCGCCTCCCCCGCTCCTCCCGCCCAGCCCACCGAGTGTGCCAGCGGTGTCCTTGCCCCCACTTGTGTTCCCCGCTCAGGGCACTGCTGCCCTGCCCCGGAGGGAGCCTTCCCACCTGCAGACCCGGCTGGTCCTCTTCCAGGGCCTGAGCGTCACTGTGGCCTGGCCTGGGCTCTGGGGCACCCGCAGCCTCGTCCCCTGCCCCTCCCAGAGGCCCCCCAGGGACCCCCCCGGTGGCCTTTCTGAAAGATGCCACATTGCTTTGCCGGACAGGTGTCCTCCTGGGAGCCCGGGTGGCTTCTCCACTCAGGCCCCGCCTTCTCCAGGGCCCTCCTCGGCCCAGGCTCGGGTCCCGGCCCCAGCAGCGGGCCAGCCCAGGCCTCTTCCCGGGTTCAGGGCAGGGGCTGTAGTTACAGACCCCGCTGCCCCGCCACACTGCCCATCCGTCGGCCTCCAGCCTGGACGCCCGACTCCGGCTGCCGTGGGTGGGACCCAGGGCCCTCTGACAACCACTGCCCTGTCTGGATGTGACCCCCACGGGGTTGGCCACAGAGAAAGGGGCCACACTTGGGCCCAGGCCAAGGGAGAGGTGCCCCTCCACCTGAGCTCCCCCCTCACAGAAGGAGTGGCCTGGTCCCTGGCGGCCGCCCTTGTTGGGACATCCTCCCACACCCACCCGAGTGGTACCTGCGTAGGTGTGTGTGTGTGAGGGGCCCCCGTGGGGGAGGGGTGTGCAGGTGTGTCACGGGCAGAGCTGCAGAAGGACAGGAGGGAGGGACGTGTGTAATCCACTGAGGACCTGGCCGTTCCCCCACAGGCCCCTCCACACCTGGCAGTGTCAGGGGCTGGGTGACGGGGAGGGTGGGCACCTACCCACCGAGCCCTCACCGCCGCTTGCCGCCCCCCCCCCCCGTCCATCACCTCAGGGGGAGACGGAAGACGTGGATGGATCACGGCCTGGAGATGCAGCCTCACGGAGCCCCGGGGCCCAGAACTTCCTTCTCTCGGAGCCATCTGCTGGGGCACCCGGCCCGCCCCTCGAGGCTCCCTGGAGGGATGTCGCCCCTCACCCCTGTTCTCAGGAGGACCATCCATCTGGACGCCTTCCCTCAAAGCCACGGCCCGCAGGCTCCCGGCCGCCTGGGCGCCGGAGCCAGGACGCGGAGCGTGTCCCCGCAGGAGGCCGGCAGCAGCCTGGTGCCCAGGAAGCTCAGCACCATCTCCTTAACACTCCGCCAGAACAGCCAGGCGTGGGGGGAGGCGCCTGCCCGGGGCAGGGAGGCCGCCGTCCACGGAGGAGGGGGGCCGCCAGTTCGGGACTCCCCGTCTATGGCCTTGCTGCAAGGGGGCAGGGTGCACTCTGAGGGCCCCGGGAACCCAGGTCTGGCCAAACCCAGCAAGATGCCCGTGGTGGAGAAGCCCCTGGTGAGTTCCTACCTGGCCCTACCTTTCCAGTCCCGGTCAGCCCAGAGCCCCTCACCAGACCCTGCAGGGCCCGGCTCAGCAGGTCAGAGGCACGCGGTCCCACCGGCTGCCCACGTGCCTGCCAGGCCTTCCCCAGGAAGAGGCAAGTCCAGGTTCAGGGGTATCCCGAGAGCCCGGCTGCATCTCCAAAGGGCCATGTCTACCGTGGAGCCTGCGACGGCCGTGGGTTTGGCAACTCTGGACACGGTAAGGCCAGGCACAGGCAGATATTTAGCCACAGCGGCCACCAACAGACCTAACTTGGCTGTCAACGTAGCCACGCCAAACACATCCAGACTGGACACAGGCGCCGGGTTCCTCGCTCTGGACGCCAGACTGGGCGCAGCCAAGCGGGGCCTGGTCATGGACCGGGTCACCCCAGGCCTGAGCAGGCTGGGTGTTGCCATAGCGACAGCGGGCACAGCGGGCACAGCCAAGCCGCATACAACGACAGGGGCCACAGCCTCGGATTTGGCAGCCCGAGACCCAGTCAAGTTGGGCACAGCCAGGCCAGACAGGGTCCTGGCTTTGGACAGACCGAATCCCGCCAGGTTGGACGTCACTACGGATTCTCCTGCTTTGGACACAAGCAGTCTGGGCACAGCCCCGGGGTCGGTGGTGCCGGCCGCCCTAGACCCAGCCATTGGGGAGACCGCGCCGGGCAGTGTCACTAACCTGACCGCCTCAGACTCCGCCACCTACCCACAGACGTCAAGCAGAAGCACGGACCCAGGCCCGGACCACGGCCCAGCAGAGGCTGCCAGAGACCTGCCCAGAGAAACCAAAGGTAAATGCCCAGAGCCTGGCCGGGCTGCTGGGGTCAGGAGGGGACGGAGGGGGTGGTGGAAGGGCCTGGGGGTGAATTATACGTGGATAGGTCGGAAAGAAAGGGGGGACTCTAAGGTCGGAGTCAAATGCGTGGAGGGCGTTGGGGGAAGGGAACAAGAGTAAGGGCAGGACGCGGAGGATGCACTGAGCCGGGCCCCGCCGACCTGCCAGGCCCAGCCAGCCTGAGGGGCGTCCCCAGGAGGGAGGTTTGCAGGGGTAGCTCTCGAGGGAGCCGCGGTGCCTTCAGCGCCGGCGTGGCTGTTCCCGGGGTCCGGGAAGTGCTGGCGTGATCGGGGGACTTGCAGGCGAGTGCAGGGTGCAGCAAACCACCCACAGGGACACACAGACCCGCACTCCGGGAAACAGTGGTTTGTCTGACAGTCGCTGCAGCTGGGCCGCTCGGGACGTGAACAGTGACCTCGCCCGAGACCGCCTCCGCCGCTCACATTCGGCCTTGCGGGGTCACCTGGGATTCTCTCTCCGGGTCCCCGGTCCCCGTCCCTTTAGTGCTGCTGAAAGGAGAGTCAGGAACTCGCACATAGGGAGGTCCATCACAGACCTGCGAACACCTAGGTCAGCACAGGCGCTCGACACTCCTTTGGCCTCAGAGAGCCTGCGGCAGGCTTTCGGTCATGCGGCTGGTTAAGCCGGTGGGAACCCAGGTCTCGGACTCCCACTGTGGGGCATCTCATCCCCAACATTTCCAAGGCGCGGAGGGCCTGGCTCTGGCAGACGCTCGGAAGGCACCCCGTCCAACAGCCTCACCAGGGCTTTGGGGCTCTCCCCGGTTCTGGTTCCGGTCCACACGCCTCCCTCTGTGCCTGCGGCCCGCCCTCCGCCCTCAGCCCAGCCTTCTCTCCTGAAATGAAGGTGTGGCCGGCCAGCGGCCGGCCGCCCCTCTGCCCACGCCCAGAAGCAGCCCGTTCCTTCCTGCACAGACTCCCGCCCTCCCCGGTCTCACTGTCGCAGCTGCAGAAACCTGGGTAGCCCTCTCCGTCCACTCCCCGCTCCCCCTGCCATCCAGTCTACTATCCAACTCTGTGAACCCACCTCCTGGACTGTCTGTCCCCTCCTCTCCATCCCTCCGCCTTGGGGGGCCAAGCTCCCCTCCCCCCAGGGCGCTCCCCTGCTCGCAGCCGCCATCGGGACTCACGTATTTGATGGAGCACTGCCAGCGTAACAGCCACTGGTGCCTCACCGTCACCCCCCCTTTAGGTCCAGCCACTTAACCTGGCGTCCAAGGCCTCGGCCTCCTCCGGCCTCCTAGCGCCGTGTCCCTGTCTGGAACTGTCCCTGCTCCGGCTGCAGCCGGGAGCTCGGGGTGTCCGCCCACAGCACCACGCCGCTCTCCCCTTCCGGCTCCTCACCTCTGCCGCCCCCTCCCCACGCAGTGCCCTCTGTCCTTCCCTCCCGCCGCCTTTTGCCATTCCGTCTAGGCCCTTGCTGCCCCCAAGAACTGCACACACAGTCCCTCTCTCCGCGGGGTGCCCACCTCCGTGCCCCCAGAGTACTCATGCACTACCCCCCACATCAGGACAGGCCAGCTGTCTGTCTCCCCCACGGGAAGGGAGCCCTTCCTGGACAGGCAGGGCCTCCCCATCCCTGTTCCCCTAGGGCCTGGCACCGCGCTGTCTGTTAACGCCGACGGACTGCGCGACAGATTTTTCTGGTGGGTCCGTTAAGACTCAGGAAAGGTCCTGAGCAGCTCAAGGTCATAGGGCGCACCCATCACCCCGGAGCCAGGCCTGGAACACGCGCCCCTGACTCAGGGCTCTGCAGGCACCCGCGCCCGGACGGAACCGCGCTGGGCCAGCGCGATATCCCAACCTCCGCGTGACTCACGCGCGCGCACCGCCGCCCCGCTGCTGCCACGGGTCCCCTGCGCCCCACGCCGCGCCCCACGCCGCGCCCCAGCCTAGAGAATAAGAGGCTGGAGCCGGATCCCGGGGAACGGACCAGGGCTGGGATGCGGACACCTTCCCGGGCCCGGCATCCCGAGCCTGCGGTTACAGCGCCCCTGGGTGCCTCCCGGGCCGCCCGCAGAAGGGTGCCCGCTCGCGCGTGCGGACGCGCGGGGAGCGGGTGAGGGCTCGGGTGCCGTGGGAGGGGGAGGGGCTCTCAGCGGGGCCGGCGGCGGGCGCGCGGGTCACGTGGTGCGGGTGGCAGCGGCGGCGGTATCGGTGCGCGCGGGCAGGAGCGGCGCGGCGCCGAGCGAGCGGCGGCGAGGTCCGGGGCGGGTGCGGAGGCGCGGGGCGCAGGGGCGGCGCGGCCGGGCCGCGGGCCGGGCGGGTGGGCGGAGAGCGCGGAGGGGCGAGGCCCGGCTGCAGGGGCCGCTCGGCCCAGAAGGAGCCCGCGCCCCGCTCAGCCTTGCAGCCCCGCGCCCTGAGCATCTCCCGGGAGGAACGGAGACAAAGGAGGATTCATGTCCAAAGGTAGGGCGGCTGGCCGGCCCACCGGCGCCCGCCAGGACGAGGCTGCGGCCCCGCGAAGCCCGGCTGGAGGTGCTACCGGGGGAGGGTTGCTGCGCCGTGGAGCCCACGCGCGGTGACATATGCACAGACACACGCACGCACGGCGACACACACCCCAAGATATATATGCCCGGAGAAATTCACCCACAGGAACGCGGGGAGATACAGAGACCCACGGACACGCAAGGAGGGACCCAGAAAGCCCCACACTGGAGCACACACCAAGACACGCACACGCATGCACACCACGCACAGGTAGCAGGGCCACCTACCACCCGATACACACCCAGGAGCTGACACATAGACAGACCCCTTCCCCCACGCACAGACAGACACCAGCTGGTGGTCTCCTAGGGAACTCGTTGGCCTCCAGAGAACCGGCATGGGGGAAGGGGGTGTCCCAGAGCCCTTTGCGCTGGAGAATGGGAAAAGACTGAGATATCTTTTGTGATTCCTTTTCTAAGAGCTGGGGCTGGAGCTGGGGTGGGCTGGAATTGCCTGCGCGGGTGGGGGGGTGGGGCCTGGGGAAGCTCTTCAGCTCAGGAAGGAAGAAGAGCCTCCCCACCCCCCACCCCACTAAGCCAAGGAGGCAGGTGCTATTCCGGAAAGGTCTCCTCCCACTGCTGCCACCTTCCCAGCTGAGGGTGGGGTTCCTGGGCCAGACAAAGACAAAGCCATCCCCTGCCTGTGAAAGAAAGCACCACAGCCCTTGCTTGGTGTGGTGATGGAGGCGCCGTTTCCGTGGGGGACTCAGCCAGAACCGAGTCAGGTGGCCCGTGCCTCTCCCTGGAGCGCTGATGGGGCAGGTGGCTCCTGGCAGGGGGTGCGGCAGCTTCTCCTCCTCTCCAGGGAGACCTGGGAGCCTTAGGAGGGCCTCCAAGGACCATTTAGGCCAGATGGCATATTTGAGCTATGTCCCGCTGTGACCCTGTCCCCAGCTCTTCCCCACCCATGGGAAGCCAGCCCCTTGGGATCCCTGTGGTGGGGAGGAAGCAAGTCTTTTTACAAAGAGTGTTCCCCCTTGGCTGTGGCCTCCACGCAGGCACCGTTTACCGGCTGGGGGTCCGCTGCTCTGTTAGCGGAGCTTCCGAGGGGCGAGGGGAGTGACATCTGCCTGACAGTGAGACATTCATTCATTCATTCATTCATCATTCGTTCACTCATTGCCGAGTGCCCGTGTGACGCTCTGCACATGGGGCGTAGAGAGCGGTAAGACGTGACTCCCGGCCTAAGAAGGGCAGAAACGAGCGTATGTTCAGTGCCAGGTGATTTACATCCTCGCTTTTGTGTAACCTTCCCAGCAACCTGGCAAGGTGGGCGCTGCCCCCATTCTCCTGAGGAGAACAGTGAGGCTCACAGGGCCCCCCAGCCGGGAATTAAGCCGGGGCCCACTCCCCACGTGGGGTTGGCAGGCGGGACACGGGCGGAGTGGGGGACTGTAAGCTGCAGAGGCTGGAGCTGCAGAACTCCAGAGCAGTGTTTGTCCTGTGCCCGGGAGGTCTTCGTGGACCTGTCAGGACACCTCGCCAGGGAGTGGGCCCTCGGGGGCCGTGACCTTGTCTGGGGCCCAAAAGTGTCCTTGGCATTTCCTGTAGGATTTGGGTGGAGCGGGCTCCTATGTGACAGCATGTGAAGGGGCTGGCAGGGATGGGTGGGATGAATGAATGAATGAATGAATGAATGAGGTGGGACTCAGGCACCAAGGGACTCAGACAGAGGCCGAGGCGGTGCAGAAGAGGGGCACCTCCACCCAGACGGGCAAGCAGAGACTTTCCTGAGGGGCGGCCCTTGCGCTGATGGTGCGGGAAGAGCGGGAGTCAGCCAGGCGCTGGAGGGGCGAGGGCCTGCCAGCAGCCCGCCCCACGCTGGCCGTGCTCGCGGCTGATGGCCGTCAGTGTGGAACTGGAACGTGTGTTGGCACGGGGGGGGGGCTTGCCACCGAGTGCTCTTCGCGGTGAGCTCAGTGGCTGCCAGCAGGGTTCGCCGGGGACGTCTGCCTGTGCACAGACCTGCAGCAGGCCCGGCCGCAGCGAGGACACCCACCTTGCGAGAATCCTCGGAAGGACTCCCGTAAATAAGTGCAAGACTCACTTTCCAGGTGTGGGGACCCGACGGGCTCAGCTGCAGAAGCACCGGGGAAGCGGGAAGGGCTGCCGTGGGAGCAGCTGGGCAGGGGAACGGGGCACCGGCCCCAGGGCAGGGGTGCTGCGTGGGCCGGGAGCCACGTGCAGAGCGAGCGTGGTGGGGGAGGCCGGCCCGGCTGTGAGAGGAGTCAGCTGCTGCGGGGCTGAGCCGGTCTCGCTGCCAGCCGCCTGGCTAGCAACAGCTTCCTGGGAAGCAGGAGGGAATCCGGCCAGACCCTGGGGAGGCCCGATGCTGTGTCAGATTCGGCTGTGCCCGGGAGTGATGAGGACAGAACATTTTCCCATTGGGAGACAGAGTCTTGGCAGGACCCGTGGAAGGACCGGGTGGTTGGGTGTGAGAACAGACTCCTGGCTGGGTGTGGGGTGGGGGAGGGTGGCTGTCCCAGCAGCCCGCCTGTTAGCTTGAGGCTGCGGGCCGGCCGGAGGGGCCGCCGGACACAGTGTGAGGTCTGGTGACTGTGCAGTGTAATTAGCATCTGGGCCCCTCCCTTCGACGAGTGCTTTCACATGCACCCCTTGACCTCCCCACAAGTCCGTGAACCTGAAGAGGCAGGGGTGGGAGGGGCTGGAGCTGGGAGGTGCACTGTGGGTGCTTCCAGGCGCCGTGTCTCATGGAATGCTCGCCGTGGGCTCCTGGGTGCAGGTGCTCTGTCTGAGTCCACACTTCTGGCAAGTCGCGGGGCCAGGCTCCCCCTTCTTCACCCCACACACCCCACTTTGTGGGTGGGACAAGGCTGCCTCTCCTGAAACCTGGCCTGCTGGACAGCGGCCCGGATGGGGACGCACACAGGTCTCTCTTACGTGTGTGTGGTGTCTGTCTTGACCAGCCAGACCTGGGGGCTGTGTGCCTTTGCCCCCTGGCGCAGGGTTGTGACCTCCCCTCTGCCACCCGCCCTCCCGACAACACGCTGCATCGTCTCAGGCAAGGGACTGCCCCGACCCGGGCCTCATCCTGTCCCCCCAGCTGGTCAAAAGGGGAGACGTGTTCCTTCAGTACATTCAGAGCTAAGGCGAGGAGGGCGGCTGCGGCTCCTCAGGGCACAGGCACCCCTGCTTTGCGGTGGTGCTCGTGGGGCAGAGGGGACACTGAGGCTGGGGGCAGGAGTGACACTCACTCTGCAGAGGGGCGGCAGCTCCATTTGCTTGTAAAACACAAAGCAACAGAGGTCAGCGACAGGCAGTAGAGGGCAGGTCCAGCATCCTGCACGGTCTTTGCCCTTATTTGGGGGGCAGGCTCAGGTGGGAATAATCCCCCCATCTCGTAGACCATGGTTCTCCACGAGGAAGGGCCGTGTGGTCCTCCGGGGACCACGGCACCGTCTAAAGCAGTGTTTGGCTCTCACTGCTGGGGGCTATTATTGGCATTTAGCAGAGGCTGGTGGGGGGGCACTGAACCTGCTACAGTGAGCAGGACAGCCCCCCACAGTAACGATTCCGCCCAAAGTGTCAGCAGCGCTGGGGTGGGGAAACCCTCGGGTTCGCCACACACACGTGGTGCTTTGGGGCGGCGAGTGCGTTTGAAGCGGCCCCAGCAGCTGGCGAGCTGGTTCTGGTCCAGACTCTGCAGCTGACTTGCTCCGTCTTCTTCGGCAAGTCCCTCCCGCCAGGGCCCGTGTCTTCCTGTGTGAGATGAGGGACCCGTGCTGGGTGACGGCTCAGGTCCCCCCCAGTCCCAGCTCCGGATCCAGGGGATGACGCCGTGGCTTCCCTGTGGCGCCGGCAGCCCACCCCCTACCCCCCACCTTGGCTTCGCAGGGCTGCCAGACACCAGGACGGACGCAGCCATGTCAGAGCTGGTGCCTGAGCCCAGGCCGAAGCCGGCGGTGCCCATGAAGCCCGTCAGCATCAACTCCAACCTGCTGGGCTACATTGGCATCGACACCATCATCGAACAGATGCGGAAGAAGACCATGAAGACCGGGTTCGACTTCAACATCATGGTCGTCGGTACGGAGGGCCGGGGGGTCCCTGGAGCCCCGGGTGGCGGGCAGCGCTGTGGGTTCCACTTCTCCCCCAAGGGCGACCTCGGCCCTGGCCTCTCCAGGGTGGGCCCCAGCTGGGCGTCCACAGGCTACCTTTGGCCATGCTCAGCCTGCGTCCCGGTGTGTGGCGGAGGGGGCTCCTCAGCGTCCCTCCCCACCTTCGAGAGCAGGGCTGGGCAGGGGGAGTTGGTGGGAGATGGCCTTTTTCTAGCCTTTTGTAGCATTTTAAAACTTAGAAAGAACTTTTTTGAAAAATTATTTATTTATTTTTTAAACTCATGGATTTTAAGCGTATATTCTTATTTTATTTTAAGATTTTATTTATTTATTTTTAGAAAGGGAAGGGTGGGAGAAGGAGAGAGAGAGAGAAACATCAATGTGCAGTTGCTGGGGGCCGTGGCCTGCAACCCAGGCATGTGCCCTGACTGGAAATCGAACCTGCGATGCTTTGGTTCGCAGCCCGAGCTCAATCCACTGAGCTATGCCAGCCAGGAGAAAGAACTTTTAGGACACTGATTGGCCACTAAGTATTGTCCCCAGGTCACAGAGCGATCTCAGTGAGATACTCACTCTGCTGCTGGAACGGGTCTGGGCGTCATCCTTCTCCTTCCGTTATGACCCGGGCCGGTCGATCAGGTTCCCCGTAAATCTCTCTCAGGTCCGCCTACTCCTCCCTGTCTCTGCTGCCCCCGCCCAGGCCGAGCCAGGCCTCCCACCTGGACAGCCACGGCCACCTGACGCGGTGCCGCTCACGGAGAAGGGGCCGGGCCAGAGTGCGGGTCATTGCGAAGTCCTGTGTAAGACACACCGGCCGAACGGAACGGTGCGCTGAGCGGCAGAGCTGGCTCCCTTTCTGGGTCGAACTACCTACCTCAAGAGCCAGTAACCAATGGTTTATGGACCCTGGCCCCAGGCCCCATTTTGAGTGGCATTGACCCTATTTCTGTCTCCTCGTCTCTTCAGTCCATTGTCTACCAGTGTCTGAATAATTTTTCCAACCAGAGAAACTCAGCAAGTCCCCGACCGGTTAAGCAGAAGGGTCTAGACTGCTAGCTTGGCCGGGTTCCGCCTCTCCACGCGTCCCTCACCACCTCCCAGGCGGCATCCGGCTGCTCACGAGGAACGGCTCTCCCAGACGCTCTTGCCAGACTCTCTCCTCCCTCTGAGCCTTTGCATACGCTGTTCCCCCTGTCTGCAAACCCCTTCCAGCTTCTCTTGGGTCATTCGAAGTCCTTCAGCTTTTAGCTTAGTTACTGCTTCTTCCTGGAAGTCCTCCTTGATCCCAGAAAGACGGGATTAGACTCCCTTCCGGATGCTATTAAAATACCCTGTGGTGGTTCATTGTGGCAACATATTGTAATTGTCTGTTTAAGCTCTGGTCTTTCTCAAAGGTAAGGATGGAGTCTCCCTTACCCCTCTACCACCAGCCCTAGCACAGCACTTGACACTCAAGAATACGTCACGAACAGATGGCCTTAGAAAACATCCAGACTGAGAACGGCGAGTACGCGGCACGTGGGCCGCCGCCTCTCTCCCCAGCAGCGCCGCGGCAGGCAGGCACCGCCGCTGGGCCCCGGCACACGGGCCGTCTGAACCCCGATGCGGCCTCTTGAACATATCCATCTGGGTGGCCACTACCAACCGGTCCGTTGGGAAGAGCAATGCACCTTATTCACCGTCCCTGGCCGCATTCAGTCCCTTCCCTCTGCCGCGTGGTCGGGAAGGGAACTGCAGGGGCAGACGCGGCCACTTGCGGGCGTCCAGAGAAACAGCACAGTGGGGTCCAGGCCTGCAGGCTCTGCTGCCGAACGTTTTCCTGATCTACCACAGGGGGCGCTCCAGACCAGCGCCTCGGGCTCCGCTGCCCGTGGGGTTCATCCAGAAGCCCCGTTAGCAACGCAGACTGTGGGTGGGAGGGTGGGGGGCGGGGCTGGGATCCTGCGTTTCCTACCAGGGTCCGTCCGGGAGATGCTGATGCCGCCCAGCAAGGCTCACGGTGACTCTGGGGCGCGTTCGAGTTTGAGAAGCACTGCTCAGACCCGTGGTTATTTCAAACGCCTTTTCGCCGTGGAGCCCCTTTCCGTGTGCTCCGTGGAACAAAGTCTGTAGGCCTGTGCGCGTGAACCGCCCACAGGGCGCCGCCGTGGAGGAGGCGCCGGGGAGGAGCCAGCCCCGCCCGCTCCGCCTCTGCCTCCGCTCACAGGGTCCTTTCGGGCCTCTGCCTCCGTGGCACGCTGGCCACTACACTGGGATACAGAGCGGATACGGGCCGAGGGGTTCCTCGGGTTCAAGTCCCGGTCTTGTACATCTTTTACGTTAGCTGGGGCTTCATCTCTCCGGGACAGCTTCAGCGGGGATCGGAGCTCGCTCTGCGGCGGGACTCGCAGGGCTGACAAAGGCGCGTCACACACAGGCCGCGCCAGAGTGCAGAGTGATTCTGTCACCGAAGACTTCAGCAAAACACAGAACAAAAACCTGCTACATTAGACGAATGCAGAGGTTGTCCCCTTTCCAGATGGCCTTGGGGCTCCAGGAAGGAGAGATGTGGCATCTGACCTTCTCTCCATCACACAGGAAACCATCCCCACCTGCCCGTGACCCCTGCTCAGCCCCTCCCTCCCCAGCGAGCGGTCAGACAAGGGCGCAGCCTGCTCAAAAATTCTGTAAGGTCCTGGGAGGGATCTCGGGTTTCGGACGTGGCCCTAGGGTCTCCCTGCCCTCTCATCCTTCTGTCTTAGGTCAGAGTGGGCTGGGCAAGTCGACGCTGGTCAACACGCTCTTCAAATCCCAAGTGAGCCGCAAGGCCTCCAGCTGGAACCGGGAGGAGAAGATCCCCAAGACAGTGGAGATCAAGGCCATCGGGCACGGTGAGGACCGGGTGGGGGAGCCCCGCGGGCATCGGTCAGAGGCCCCTGCCTCTGCCAGAAAAGGGGAGGAATGGGGCCTCTCGGGGAATGGGACAGACGAAAGGCGACCTCAGCGCAGAAGAGAATGAAGCTCTAAACCCCATGGGGCCAACTCCTTAGATTGCAAATCCAGGAGGGGGAGGAAGAGGGATTAGGAAAAAAAAAAGAAAGAAAAGAGGAATGGGGTTTAAACTGGCTGATAAAGCCCTTAGACAGGCAGAAGGAAGTAGGGAGTTCCTCCCAGGTGCAGGGAGCGGCGGCGTGAACAAAGGTGCTGAAGTGGGGAAGACCCTGAACTTGACTTTCCCAATAACTGGTCCCGAAGAAGGAAGGAGAGCCTGGGCCTCCCTGGCTGGTGGGCAGCAGGGCCCCTGGCACCCGCTGGGAGAGTCACCTCCCTGCTGCCCTTTCTGTTCGCACCCCAGTGATCGAGGAAGGCGGAGTCAAAATGAAGCTGACCGTCATCGACACCCCGGGCTTCGGAGACCAGATCAATAACGAAAACTGGTACGCGCGGGCCCCGAAACGGCGAGGGAGGTGCTGAAGGTGGGGCGGGTTCACTGGTGTGGAGAGCCACCTGCACCGTCCGTGCATGCTGAGCGTTCAGTGTCGTCCGGGGGATGGGGGAGGGGCCGCAGGGAGGTGAGGGAAGACATCCAGGTGGGGCTGGGCGTGGGGGTGGTGGAGACAGCGCAGGGGGGATTTTGCCCGAGGGATGGCCTGGCGGTGGCAGTGGGGGCGGGACGGACAGAACAAGGGGACCTGGGGTGTGAATCCGGGCTGACCCGGACACAGAGAGAAGGGGTGAGAAGCAGGAGCCACCGTGAGGATTGAGAGTCTGCCAATCCGCAGCAAGGCCCCTTTCCCGATGCCTTGCTCACGGGAAAGCCGTCCACGGGAGGCCGAGGGAGAATGCCCAGCAGGTACTCCAGACCCCTGCCCCTCCCCCCGCCCTGGGGGAAGTAGGAAATGAGACACCTGCACGGGGACCATGCCCACAGAGAGCTCCCAGGTCCTGTCCTTCTGGGACACCCATCCCCTGTCTCCCCCACCCGACCCCCGCCCCGCAGCTGGGAGCCCATCGAGAAGTACATCAACGAGCAGTACGAGAAGTTCCTCAAGGAGGAGGTGAACATCGCCAGGAAAAAACGCATCCCTGACACCCGTGTCCACTGCTGCCTCTACTTCATCTCCCCCACGGGACACTCGTACGTACCAGTCCCACCCCCACCCCCCCGAGCGGGGCCTGGCTCTGGTTTGCACCATCTGTGCCCATTCTGTAGGCGATAACCAATACACGGACTTGGCTGGGGAGGGCCAGAGGGGCCCCAATACAGTCACGGCCCTGGGATCCCCCAGACCTTCCCCAAGAAAGTCTGGCTTCCTTGCCAGGAGAGTGGCGCTGACCAGCCTCAGCCACCACGCTGCCTCTGGTGCTCTGGCACCGCGGCACGACTGTGCTTGTAGAGAGAAGTTGGGACACCGGAGCAGAGGGCTTCTTAGTCATTCAGCAGACACCTGCTTTGCACAGGGCTGGGTGGGGTGGGCGCAGCAAGAAGGGTCAAATGCCGGGAGGTGGGGCTGCGGGATTGGGGCTGGTGTTTAGGGTGGGGAGTGGGACCCAGCTGGAGGTGTCTGGAGGGTGGCCAGCCCAGCAGAAGGTGTCGAGAAATGAAGGCTGGCAATAAGCAGGGCATGCTGGGAACTCTGGCTGTGCGTAGCAGGTGGGGCTGCCTGGAAGGGCGTGCTGGCAGAGCACGGGGAGAGCACGTGGGCCAGCAGACGGCCTTCCTGTGGGGGAGGTCACACAACCTATTGCTACGCCCAGCTGCCAGGCCAGAGCTCTGTTCTGGAGAGGCTAACACAAGCAAGGCGGGGCCCAGACTTGGGAGGAACTGGGTGCTCAGTGGGTGGGGCCCAGAAACTCCATAAAATGGTTAGCTTTATCCCTCCCTAGACCTTGGACTCAAGGTCTGCAAGGAAGCAGGCAGCCTGACTCAATAAGAGGAGCCAGAGTCTGGGTGGAGCCGGGCCCTCTGACGGGGGAGTGGCAGACCCCCAGCTGGACCCCTGCAGGACCAAGTGGGGGCTGGGAGGAGGCCCTTCAGAACAAGACACCCATAAGTAACCATGACACAAGGACATATGGGTGGGGTGACCGTCCACAGCTGTCCCCGGCCAGCAAAGGTGCCGTGAGGGGGTGGTCGGAGTGGGGCTTAGGGAGGGGCAGGATTTGAGGAGAAGGGAGACGGAGGACCATGTGCTGGGGGGGGAGGGGGAGAGTCGGGGCCTGTCCTGCAGATGGCGGGACAGTGCGTACGAGTCAGGAGAGAGAGCAGCCTCTTGGCCTCAGCCGGGTCCCCGGCCCAGTCCTCCTGTCCCAAGGGTGGCCCTGGGGTGGCGGCAGTGGCTCAGTTGGGGAGGGCCGGGTGGCTCTGACCCTCCGCCTTCTCTGGGCCCCAGCCTGCGACCTCTCGACCTGGAGTTCATGAAGCACCTCAGCAAAGTCGTGAACATCGTCCCCGTCATCGCTAAGGCTGACACCATGACCCTGGAGGAGAAGTCCGAATTCAAGCAAAGGGTGAGAAGGCCCCTCCTCCTTTTCCTGCCCCCATCCCCGCCTTCCCCCTCTCTGGTCCAAGCCTCTCCCACCCTCCAGTGTTACGGGTGTTACGTTCGCCTCTCCCCACTCCCACCCAGCTCCTGCTTAGCCATTAAAGAGACGGGACCCGCAGTGTCTGGGGACCGCTGTCGAAGAGAAGTTAGTGCGTGCTCAGGTGGCATTCTTCCCCCCTCCAAACTTCTAGCGACCCCCGGATACATAAATCACCGTGAACAGGAGATACCCCTCCTCACCGCTAGGAGGCTTGGAGGACTAGATAATGAATGCATCAAGGCCCTCTAGTCCGTACTGTGGTTCTCTGTGAGCTCCTGAACTCCCAGCACCCAGGTGGGGATGGGGAGGAGGGGATGCCAGAGGAGTATAAAGATAATTGTTGCCTTCGAGTAGACGGCTGAAGAGGTCCTGGGTAGCTTCCTGGAGGAGGTGAGATTCAAGCTGAGCTTTGAAAGAGGGCAAACAGAGAGGCCGGGGGTGGGCGGACTCGCCCCCTTCCCTACAAACGGGAACAGGACCCGTGGCGCATGCGCACTGCCCATGTGCTCAGTGGTGGTGTCAGAGTCTGAGCCCTACAGACCCGAGAGGAGCGAGCTGCTGCCCTAGACTCTTCCTCGTCTCAGGCGGGGCTCCCGTTATTGTGCGACTGGGGTTCGCACTTACTCAGGGCCTCGGGACCCAGAGATGTCTGTGGATCCTCAAGGCTGCGTTTAGTCCTCCGCCCGCAGCGCGCGTGCACGCGCGCACACCCCCTCCCGTTATCCTGACACCTGGCTGCCTTGCTTTTCTGTCCCTCGCCTGTAGGTTCGCAAGGAGCTGGAAGTGAATGGCATCGAATTCTACCCCCAGAAGGAATTTGATGAGGATTTGGAGGACAAGACGGAGAATGACAAAATCCGGGTGGGTGCCTGGGGCTCCGCTCGTCACAGATGGCCCCCTTGGTGCCCGTGGGATGTGTACCGCACACTGCTCTGGTTTCCCAGCTGCTTCTCCCCTTCCGCACTCCCGGCCTCGCCCGGCCTGACCAGACCGGAAGTGACCTGGGGGAGGCTGAGGACTAGCGCCCCCTCCAGGGGGACTGTGAACCCTGCACCCACAGGCGATGCTCCCATCTGTCCCCAGGCCCCACGAAAGCCTCTTCCTTCAGCACCACACGGCAGAGCTGGGGTGCGTGGGGTCGGAAGGGCACCGGCAAGGACATTAGCTGTGTGTCCAAGGTATCTACGCTCTGTCAGAGCTCTGCCTCAGTGCCGCCCTCTATAAAGTGCAGAGGTCAGACTGGTTGAGTGGCCTGTGGGTTTTTAATTTTTCCCCAGAAGAACGCTTTAAAGAAATTAGATGTCAGATAGAACTCCGATATGTAAAATGCAAAAACAGAGCTGCTTTGGCTAAGTGACGTGGGCACAGAGCCCCACCTTACAGCAGGCCCTGGGGGAGCGCCAGGGAATCTTACCGCTTGGTGGAACCTGGCCGGCACGCCATCAGCCTATGGGATTGCTGAGAGTCCTCTCCGTTCTGAAGCTCTGCCGCCCCGGGGTTCCAGCTCAGAATCCTGAGCTCTAGTCCGGGCTTTCCCACTCACCCGCTGGGACCTGGGACAGACCACTCGCCTGCTCTGGTCGAGTCTCCTCCTCCCGTAAATGTGGGGCAAATACTCAAATCCCCGTTTCTGATCCAGCGGAGACAGGCAGTTGGCCCGTTAATTGAAGAAATCATTTAAACAATGACACATGCCAATCACAAATATTTTAAATAATTATTTTACTAAATTATTAGGTTAAAATGAAACATACAGATCACATGCGTCAAACATTCTTTTCATGGACAGAGCTGCTTCTCTGAGATTAAGTTCCCTCTTCATGCGAAAGCAACTCACCTCTACCAAGTTTTTCTGAAACATTCAACTTCATTTTCAGAGAAGCAGCTCTCTCCACTCATGCGTCCTCAGCTTACGGAGTTGTTAGTTTATCCAACTATGGCGACACACACACGCTGGGCAAATTCATTTGGGAAAACCAGCTGGCTCGTGGGGGACACGCAAGCCCTGTGGGTGAAGAGAGGGGCCCTCACACGTCAAAGAGGGGCCCCCGGGCTCTGTCAGGTCAGCGGCTGTGGGCGTCTGTCCGCCTGTAGGTTTTGGGGGAGACGGTGTGAAGCATGTTACTTGGGCTGTCAGCCGGGCGGGTATCACTTGAGAGAGGTCTGTCCATCCTGGCAGCTCCCAACCGTGTAGAGCGGCGCAAAGCATTCTCCCGTTGAGGGAACGCTGACTTACTGAGGCTGACCGAGGCGGCAGGGGTGCAGGCAGGGTTGGATCCAGCACTTGGGACTCCCAGTCCAGTGCTCTTTTGAAAAGACAAGAGCCTGCCCCACCCTTGCCATCAGTGGGACCACTGACTGAACCTCAGAAATGGGCAGTTCAAGGTCGGGGGGCCCAGGACCGCATTCCCTCCCGCCCCTGGCGGCCCTGATTGTCGAGGATGACGTGCCCTGTGTCTGGTCTGTCAGCAGGAGAGCATGCCCTTTGCCGTGGTGGGGAGCGACAAGGAGTACCAAGTGAACGGCAAGCGGGTCCTCGGCCGAAAAACTCCCTGGGGGATCATTGAAGGTAACGCACTGCCTCCTTTTGAAGAACTGGCTGCTGGCTAATGATGCGTGTTTAGTAAGCGTGGCTAGGTCGAGGCACTGTCCCAGGATGTGAGATTTAAAAAGAGGGCCAGGCAGACCCTGCGGAAGGAGCTGGCCGTGTGGTCGAGAAACGGGACTCCCAAGCAGGAGGCAGTAAAAGCCTGGTGTAGCGCCCCTCCGGGAGGCGCGGCGCATATGTCAGAGGTCCTCTTCAGAACGTGGAGAGATGAATAAGGGCCAGGAACGCCGGAGAGAGGTTTTCACGTGAAAGGGGATGCGATCTGACAACCCGCTGAAAGGTTCTTCGGATGTGGCTGTTTTTGTTTCATTATGAATGGATGTGACCTTGAGGCGGTCGTAACGATTCTGAAGGCTTTCAAAGAATCGCTTCAGTGATCTCATTCAGCGGGATAACCCCCTGCGGGGTTATGTCTGCTCCTGAGGCTCTTGAATTTCCGACAGTTAAATGTCTTGTCCAGATCACACGTCTTGTTAGTGGTGAAGCTTGGATATTTTTTGATTCTAAAACCAAGTGCAGCCCCGGCTGGTGTGGCTCAGTGGATTCAGTGCCAACCTCCCAACCAAAGGGTTGCTGTTTCGGTTCCTAGTCAGGGCACGTGCCTGGGTTGTGGGCCAGGTCCCCAGTAGGGGGCGTGAGAGAGGAAACCACACATTGATGTTTCTCTCCCTTTCTCCCTCCCTTCCCCTTTCTAAAAATAAATAAATAAAAATCTTTAAACAAAACAAAACCAAGTTCATCCTATTGTATCTTGTTGTCTCCCATTTTCCTATGATTTTTTAAAAAAAGATTTTATTTATTTATTTTTAGAGAGATGGGAAAGAAGGGAGAAAGAGAGGGAGAGGAACCTCAATGTGCGAAAGATACAAAGATCAGTTGCCTCTCACACGCCCCCGGCTGGGGACCTGGCCCGCAACCCAGGCACATGCCCTGCCCAGGGATCAAACTGGCAGCCCTTCTGTTTGCAGGCCGGTGCTCAATCCACTGAGCCACAGCAGCCAGATGACTTTTTGTTGGAATTTTTAAACAGCATTTCTTCATCATCTACCTTGAGTTGGAATTATTTCTGCGCATGCCTGTCCTACCCATTAGATTGTGAGACCATGGGGTTCATGTCTTAACCTTCTTCTGCTCCCACAATCCCTGGCTCATGATTTACAAATACAGTCATGCCTCGGTACCCGTTGGCTTCAGAACCCGTTAAACCCCGTGCTCATCACATTTGGACGAGAAAAGAAGATGTGTCAGCACCCCGCACTTGCTCGGGACTCTTCGCACTCGCTGTGACTTGCGTGAGTCACGACGCTGCCCCGCAGGAGGCAGCGCTTCCTCACTCGTCGCTTGTTCGGTGCTCAGCGGTTTTGGCACCTGTCATGAGCTGATGGCGAGTACCGAGGTCCCACTGTAGCAGGCACTCAGTCTGTGTCAAATTAGAGTATCGTGTAGTGCATGCCCTTCTTAAAAAAAATTTTTTTTTAACTTTTTAAAAAGATTTTATTTATTTATTTTTAGAGAGGGAAGGGAGGGAGAAAGAGAGAGAGAGAAACATCAATGTGCGGTTGCTGGAGGCCGTGGCTTGCAACCCAGGCATGTGCCCTGACTGGGAATCGAACCTGCGACACTTTGGTTCGCAGCCCACACTCAATCCACTGAGCTACGCCAGCCAGGGCTTGCATGCCCTCCTTTAACATGGCTCGATCATTGTTTTCTGTGTTACTGTCTTCCAATCTGGTTATAAGCTCCTCAAGCATAGGAGTTGTGTCTCAGGTTGGGCAAGTTTCTTAGACTCCCTGTAGCAGTATTTTTTCCCTTTTCTATAAAATGGGGAATACAATAGTCCCTCTCAGCTCTTATCCTGCAGGGTCTAGAATGGTATTGTGCCATTGCAGCTGCTTAACAAACGTTACGTGAATAAAACCCAGTGCACGGAAGCACCAGGACCAGCAGACTGCGGGAGGAGTTACAGTAGCCTGTCCCGTGCTCCCCCCCCAGAATGCCTCTGTGACCAGAGCAGTAGTGCACCTGCTGGGCGCCGCTGCATTAGTGAAATGACCACCTGTTTTGTTTTGTTTCGTTTTGTTCACAGTGGAAAACCTCAACCACTGTGAGTTTGCCCTTCTCCGAGACTTCGTCATCAGGTAAGATGTGCCCCTGCCCTCCCTCAAGTGGCAGGTGTAACGGCCCGGGGTCCGGAGGCCACCTGCTCAGAACCACCTCCTCAGTCTCCAGGTCTCTCCCTCCCGACGGGCCCTCTGCCCGCGGCCCAGCTGCCCTGCCGAAGCACGCGGGGCAGGAGAAGGGGCCTCGGTTCTCTGGAGTCGGCCGACTGGGCCCGGGCGGTGCAAGTGGCATGTTAACCTTGATGTGGGTCACCTCTTCCTCCTTCCCCTCTAATCGCGTCCCCCTCTCTCTTGTCACCCGCGCCCCTCAGGACCCACCTCCAGGACCTCAAGGAAGTGACACACAACATCCACTACGAGACCTACCGGGCCAAGCGGCTCAATGACAACGGAGGCCTCCCCCCGGTGAGCGCGGACGCAGAGGAGAGCCGCGACAGTAACCCGTGACGACCCTGTCCCTGTGCCATGCCATCACACACGGCCACTCTCCACACCACCCCGACACCATCACCACCCGCCTTCTCCTCTCTGCTCTGTCCCACAGGCCTGTCTGGTGTTTGTGGAGCGTCCTGTCTACAGCGTGTGCGTGTGTGTGAGTGTGTGTGTGTGCGTGCGTGAGTGTGCGTGTGTGCGTGAGTGCGTGCTCAGGGGTGAGGTGTTTTCACTGCCCTCCCTGGGAAGTCCCTTGTAAGTTCGGTTTCTCCATGCCTCTCCATTATCTGTCTCCTTTGCTTGTGTCCCAGAACAGAGCCGTGCGCCTCACTCAAGAGGCCCAGGGAGGTTTCATTTAAAAATGAGGGTGCAGGTGAGCCACAGGTAACTCCTCCTCATCTCCGACCTGCCTGCACCCCCGGACCGCGGGGGTCTTCCGAGGACAGGCTGCGGGGCTAGGCCCGGGACGGGGCAGGGAGTTCGGACTTAACCTTCCCGGGTAGCCGGGGCGGTCGGGGGTCAGGCCAGGACTTCCTGGGGAAAGGGAGGTCAAGGACAGCAGGGAAGTGGGCCACGCTGGGCACCTGCAGGAAGCATCAGTGCCTCGAAGTGGCGACGAGAGCTCCACCCTCCGGTCTCTGTCCCATTCACTGTAGAAGCTGCCACCTGTCCCTGCGGCAGCGCCTGCTGCGGTCCTCCCGCCACACGCAGCCCACACGCAGCTTGGCGCCCGCTCCCTCCTCTCCCTCCCCTCCCCTCCCTTCCTCCCCCTGCCCCCCCTCCCTTCTTTCACTCCCTTGTAGATCGAGCCACTGTAGCTCCATTTCCATATTTAGAAGGTACGCCCAGTCTACTTCTGAAAAGGACTTGAGGCCACCTTAAAATAAAATCACAGCTAGCAGCACGGGACAGCACAAACTAGGAGGACGGAACATCAGACGCAGAGTGAGGAGGGGGGAAGCGTTTGTGTGGTCCAGCGCGGAGACCGGCCCGGAGGAGCCCGCGGCCGTCCCAGGCCGGGGAGGGGCCGCCGCAGCGGGCACGCGCAGGCTGGTCCAGGGAGACACCCTTTTCAGGCATTAAGTTCTAGAAAAACGGAGTCGAAAGAAGTATCAAGAATAATGTACAATATTTGTGTTTTTTGGTAGGTTTGCCTTTCTCTTTTAGGAGGATTCTTCCTCCTAAAAGCTGGCTTCTCTGTCGCTGTCCCCTCCTCATGAACCCCGCTCCTTCTTCCCCCTCTCCTGCCCTCTCCCCGTGTTCTGCCGAAGCTGACTGCATGGTGGTCTGTCCGTCCTTCTCCACTGCTTTTCCTGTCCACCCTCCTGACATCTGTACACGTTCCCGGTGACACCCACAGTTGTACATTAGCCTCTTCCTGCCTTTCCCTCCAGCCCTGTATTTATTAACACATACGTGCATATCTCATTTGTTTTACAAACAAGTTACTCTTTCTCCTTTAGTCAGTGAGGTGGCTAACACTGGGGCCGGGGAAACAATGTAGCCTTAGGCAAGGGGAAAACACCAAGGGCCACAGTTTTACAGTGACCTCATACAACCTCCTGCTCCATGGCCTGGTCCAGCCCGGGGTGTGTGACAGGCCCTCTGCAAATCGCAGCGTTTATAGTCCCTTTTCACTCAGGTGCTAGGAAAACACAAAGACGTAAGACCAAGATTCAGTGCACCAGGTGAAAGAGGTGGGTGATGTCGCCAATGACCCAAACACCTATGGTCTCAGTCTTTCTTGGGAGCTCTTACCAACCCAGCCCGCGTCCTCCCTGGCCCACAAAGCTGTCCCAGAGGAGGCGCTGTCAGGATGGACCAGCAGGAGGGTTAGAGCCCAGAGGTTGCTACGTGTCAGCAGAAGAGGGATGCCTGGCCTGCACAGGAGCAATCCTGTGTGGGAATGTGGGGCTGGACCCCCAGGCCCAGCAGGGCAGATCTAGGGGTGGGGGCGGGGGGCGCTGGAGAGGCTGAATAAAAGGATGCTTGCCGCCCCTAAATCATGATCTCAGCCTCCCCGGAGAAGCTGTTTTATGTGTCTGGTGTCCACACCCTCAACTGTTCTCAACCCCCCTGCAGGGAGAAGGCCTCCTGGGCTCTGTCCTTCCACCTGTGCCAGCCACCCCCTGCCCCACTGCTGAATGAAGGCCATTTCAAGCGCTGCTTCTCCCTCCATTCCTCCCAGCTGTTATTGCTGCAGGGCCATGGCCCTTTAAGGGCCCACCTCCGCAGCCCGTCTGGGCCCTCAGCAGGTGGGAGGGGCCAGTTGCTTTAGGACAGCCGCCTTCTCCATGTCTCCCAACACTCCTCTCCTCCCAGTGGAATGGAGTTCTCGCCAGCACTGCCCTCCTCCATCGTCTGTGTCAGCTGGTCCCAGCCTGTCTGTAGGGCGAAAGAACTCATCAAGAGCTCCTTCTGCCCTTGCAAACCCATGCCCGCTACTCGTACCCATCTCCAAGGGAAATGGCACTGCTCCCTGTCCATCTGCATGAGCTACTTTTGGCTTTCTTTAAAAGGTCAAGGAAGCCACTTTTCTGCTTGTCAGATTCGTTGACATCAGCTGTGTGAGCCCAGATGTGGGACAAGGGTGTCTCCTTCGTTGCTTAAAGCTTAGTTGTGAGGATGGGTGACTCCAGATGTAGGGAAGCAAGGGCTAGGGTCTCTCCTTTAAAACCACCGCTTTGGGCTGGCCCAGAGTGTGGACACGCCCTCTCTCTCCCAACAATACAGCCTCTCAGGAAGAGTGGTTTCCCCGAAGAGACATTTCTGGAGTTGACTTCTTTATCTCCAATCTTTAAAAAAGGCACTAAACACAGATACAAAACTCCAGAGACCCATGAGATGTGAACGCTAGGAAGAAAAAAAAAGCACCCATCTGTCTACTCAGCAATAAGAGGGATCTCTTCCCACCCACCCTGACTATCCCCACCCCCACCCCACTCCACCCTGTTAATGTGAGGAATGAGTACGCCTGGCCGTAGCTGGTCGCCTGTAGGCTAGTGGAAAATACCCAACGGAGGGCAGAGGCCCTCATCAGATGCATGAATGTTTGCGAATGTCGGCTGCCACTGCCCCACACACCGTGTCTAGAGAACCCCCTGCCCCCCCTGCCCATCTCCGCCCGGACACAACTTGCTCAAAGGCTGGTGACTTGCGGGCCATGCGTCTACGATCAAGTCCTGATGGAGCAAGAGGCCCAAGCCTAGGGGATGCAAGAACAACCCATTTCTTAAATATTGTCAGTCCCAGCCAACCTTTTGGTGACATTATGGTTTAATTTCCCAACTGAAAACAAGCCAATGACACTCAAACCGGTTGTGTAAATGTCGCTAGACTTTATGTGTTGTACAACTAAACATTGCTGTTTGAACGACTGCCTGGCCTGGTCTCAGTGGTGTCCCTCCCTCCTTGGCCCGACAGACGTGACATCATCTCACCTGTGTGTGGAGGGTGTGACAGGGACCGTCTCAGTAAGAAGTAGCCACAGAAATTAAGGATAAAACATCTCTTGAGGTCAGCTTATCGTTAGTGGACATGAGTTTGGATACCAGTCGTAACTACCTGGGATTTTGTATGCAAAATGAGTGATGAAGTTATTACACTTGATCTTGAGGCAAGCTGTGCTCTGCATAGGCTGCTTTCTTCAATGAAAACAACGTTTATTTTCATTCAGCTAATTTTTCCAGCTTTTCCCCTCGTTTCTCCCGAAGGCACAGAACCCAAGTGTATCAAAGGAGTGAATCCATCTTGCCTCGTTACTTTACAATGAATACTTTAAGAGTTAAGGATTTACATTTAAAGCACTAGCTTGTTTCTTGTCTTTTTAAAAAAATATATTTATTTTTAGAGAGGGAAGGAAGGAGAAAGAGAGAGAGAGAAACATCAATGTGCGGTTGCTGGGGGTCATGGCCTGCAACCCAGGCATGTGCCCTGACTGGGAATCAAACCTGTGACACTTTGGTTCGCAAAGTTAAGTTTTTTAACTTAAACCATACCTGCCTCTCTTTGAGGTTCTCCCTCCTGCAGCTAGCAAATAACACAACTCTTACCTGCATATCATTTCTTTTCATTTGAATGTGATGACCATACATGTAATTGCGTGTGGGGCCTCACTGTTCTGTAGGGGGCGTGCAAGGTGCAGATGAATGGCGAGGGGTCAAGACTGGAGGAAGACGAGTCAGGGGGCTCTGGGGCACCCAAGTGAAAGGACGCAGGGCAGGAACTAGAGGGCAACGCCGCACCCGGAAGCGGGGAGGCGAAGATTTGAGTGACGGAGCAGCTTTTCAAACTCAGGTTATTGTGAGGAGAAACCTGAGAGTCCTTCCAGTTCAATGCTTTCATTCATGATGGAAATGGACGCGCAGAGCGCGTCACCGTCGTGCCTGAATTTGCACACTTAAGTACCAACGCACAGGGGAGACTAGACCTCAATGCTTCACACTGTTCCTGTGGTACTCCATTTGTTCTCATTGTCTTGTACTTAAAAAATATATTTCTGCAATCAGGATACTCCCTCTTATACCTGATGACACGGCAGTTCACTTGGCAGCTTTCTCTCTTAGTGGTACTCCTAAAAATGGTGCATCTGACAACCGACGGCATCTTTAAATTTGATGAAATACCGTAATCCAGGAGATGTTAATGCCCCTTTTCCTTGAAACCCTCTGGTGCTATGTGTGAAGTCTAAAGGAAATGAGAATATGGACAACATATTCTTATGCAGCTCACAATCATCCTTTGGCGGTGGCAGGGCAGGTATGAGGGATGATACAGGCCCCCTTCCCCTTTGGAGCAGGCATGGACGCCCCGTTGACTGCCTGACCCAGATCGCGCATCCTGTTCTATATCCCAGCTCCTAAGAAACTGGCTCTGGTTCCAGGCTTTCTCCGGAGGACCAAAGTTTTCACCTTAGGAGTAAGGGATTATTCTGGATCCTTTCTCCAAAGGTTAGGAGTTTCCTGTCCGGAGCCAGGGAGGACTCAGGAAACTTCCTGCTTTTAACTCTCATTCCGGGCAGGACCAGTTCAAGTTCATGCTGATGCTGCAGTGGCCAAGTGGGCACGTGGGGGTCGTGGGAGCCACTCATCCATCACTCACCACCCCGCGCCCTGCGGGCAGAAGCAGCTCCCTAGCCCCGCCCCCTTCCCATTCCGGGGTGTTTCCACTCCGACTTGGCCGCGTCCTCTGGTCCTCTGACCACCGCAGCTCCAGGGGTCAGCCGCCTCACCTACCCGTACCCCGCTCGCCCCACCCCTCGTCTCTGCGCCATAATCTCCGCCCCTATGCTTTACAGCCCCGCCCCACGGCTTGGCACAGGCCCCGCCCCTTCCCATCTCAGGGGCGGCTAGAGGGGCCCGGAGCAAGATGGCGGTCAACCAGAGCCACACCGAAAACCGCCGAGGGGCCATCATCCCTTACGGCGAAAGGTGCCTGAGGGGAAGCCCAGGGTGGCGTCAGAGGAGGGAGGAAGCAGACTGGGTGGAAGGGGCGACTTGCGAACTCTCGGCGAATCAGGGACTTTCCCGCCTTTCCCAGGGCTTCGCGCTTAGCTCCGCCTCGGACCTTAGTGTAGGGGCACCGCCTCGCGGGACTTCCGGGGGGTGGCGCGAGCCCGAGCGGGTGGCTCCGTACGCGCGAAGGGCGGAGCGTGTGTGAGCAGGTGGAGGGGGGCGCGCCGCCTCCGGTGTGCGAGCACCGGGCGGGAGAGGGGCGCGCTGCGGCCGAAGAAAGGTGAGGGCGCCCCGGCGGCCACTGCGGGCGCTGTGCAGCTGCCGCTGGGCCGGAGCGCGCGACCTTCGTAGGGCAACAGCCGCGGCCGCGCCCCTCCCTCCACATGCCCTGAAAGGGGCATGTGAACGGATCATTCTAGAAAGACCCTGACCTGTCGGGGGCCTCTCCTTGCCCTCAGAACTTCCCAGAGGCCCCCTTCTTCTCTGCCAGAGCCTGCCCTTACGGAGACCCGGACGCCTAGGGAGAAGGGCGCGCCCGCAGCGTCGCGGGCCACTTGGGGTTTGCACTTGTCGCTTTGAGGGTGCATCGCTGCGGCATCGCCGGTCGCGCCTCCGCTGGCCGCCCTCAGGTTCAGTCTGGGGGGAGGTTTTCACCTCCCACCTCGTGCCTCGACTTCCCCCTGAATTCCCCGGCCCCCCTCCCCCCCGTTTCGCACGGAGCCCTGCTGGTCTCCCCGCCGAGCTCCTCTGAATCATGCCCCACGCTGCTCCCTCGCCCTCGCTTTCCCTTGCGGTCGCCCGAGCGCCAGCGCGGCCTGGAAAGCCAGCGCGGTGCCCGGGTGCGGCTGCGCGCGCCTAAGTCGCTGGGAGTGCGTCTGTCGGGAGGATCCATTAAGACAGCTCCAGATGCCGATGTCCAGAGCTTTTTCGTATGCTTTCTTCTCCCGATTCTTTTCTTGACAGATTCCCACAGGCCGCCAGGGCTGTGCGTCCCCATTTGCTCCCGAAGGAGCTCCGCGCTTCCCTCGCTTTTGCAGTCGGGGACGACTGACTGCTCGCGCTCCGACCGCGCGCACCGGCCCGGAGCGCTTTGTCCTGTGTGCCTGTGACTTCGCCACGAAGCGCTTCCGATCTGGGCGCTGCATGTCCTCTCACTCGGGCTTCCTACCAGTTTTCCCTCTGCTTTTCTGACTGTGTGTCGGAGTCAGAAAACGAGGCTTTTTAAAAATAATGATAACAAGTCAATGTTATGGTCCTTGGAATGATCTTTTTGGGGCCCATATGCCCTTGAACACTTCGTCGTAGCCAAGCACTGTTCTGAGGGGTTTATGCTTAAAACGGCCCCATCCGCAGTGAGGACCGGCAGTGTTTGCCCCGTTTCACCGGTGGGAACCGAAACAAAGAGAAGGGGTCTGCCCCCACATTCTGTGGCCGGCGCCACGCGCGGGAGCTTGGATGTGGGTCTCAGCTTAGGTATTGGGCGCTGACCGCTCTGCCCGCGCTGTGCTGGCCCTCAGAAAGGACAAGGACTGCTTCTCTGCTTTCTCCTCCTCAAAGGAGGTCCTGTCAGGACGGCGGCTTCCTGGCTAGGAACCACTTTAAAGGAAAATCCTCAGAGAGGGAGAAGGCTGATTACATTTGACTCCTGCGTGTTCCCGGAGCACGCCGGAGCACTCCGTCACAGCTAGGCCCGGCTTCGTGGAGATGCGTCCCCCTCCCAGCAGAGGACCACAGGGGTGATGGCTAGACTCTCCTGGTGAACACGGAAGACACTGAGGGTTTTTTTTTTTAACTCATGTTCTAAACCTTGTGCAGTTAATTCCATGTGTTTTTATTGTAGAAAAGTTAGGAAAAAATTTAAATCACCCTGGATTCCAACGTCTAGTGCTGTTTACATTTTATGTATCCTTATCCACTTTCTCGTATGGAAAAATATGCATTCTCATTTATCAATATATTGAGAATGCATTCCAGAGTCAAAGTCTACATTATTGTTTTCAGTGGCTACTATTCTAGTGTGCGTAAACCTTTGCTGAAGCCCCATCTAGGATATTCTGGTTTTAATTTGTCATTGCTATAAATATTGCTCCAGTGAACATTTGTGGAAACTTACCTCTGCACAGCTGTCAGAATGTTTCTTTGGGATGTATTTCTGAAAGTGGAATTGTGGGATCAGAGGATATAGACTTTAAAAAAGGATTTTAAAATATTTTTATAATATAAAAATTCTTGTCAAAAATATTAAAAATATGGAAGTATATAAAATATATTTTTGGCAAAACCTGTGGAATTATATCCATTTACATTCCTCTCAGTGCTCCGAGTGACCATCTCACCGCACCCTCGCCCACACCTGGTGCTGGCCTTCGATATCGCTGCCGGTGTGATGTGTGGCATCTTTAAAAAAAAAGGATTATTGCTGAATAATGGAATCTTTAAAAAAATTATTGCTAGTGAAGTTATCTTTTTTTCCCTATGGCTATTAGCTATTTATATGTCTTTGGCAAATTTTCTTGGTTCATACAGTTTCTCCATTTTTACTAAGTTCATTTGTTGATGTAGTAAAAAAATAATAGAGACGGTATCTTCTTTACCATTACAATAAAACTTGTATATATTTAAGGTATACAACATGAAAATTTGATACACATACACGTAGTGAAATGATTACTACAGTCAAGCTATTAACATCTCATATAGTTACCATTTTTGTGTGATGAGTACATGGGAGATCCGTTCACTTCGCGTATTTTCAGTGTGCAGTACAGTAACACTGATACAGTCATCACGACTGTACATGAGATCTCTGGATTTATTCATCCTACGTAACTGCAGATTTGAGCCTTTGACCAACCTCTCCCCGTTCCCCCCTCCCCTGAGACCCCCTGGTATTAACTGTTCTATTCTCCATGTCTGTGCATTTGACTCTTCTTTTCTGTTTAGGCTTCACATGTGAGATTATACAATATATCTCTTTCTGGGTTTATCCATGTTGTAGCATGTGACAGGATCTCCTTCTTTCTCATGACTGAGTAATATTTTGTGATATATTTATTGATATATATATTCTTCATTCATTGACAGACACGTCATTTCTAAAGCTTGGCTATTGTGAGCAATGCTGCCATGAACACAGGAATACAGATATCGCTTTTATATCCTGTTTTCATTTCCTTTGAAAATATACCCAGAAGTGGGATTGCTGAATCATATTGTCATTCTGTTTTTATTACATTGATTGGTTTTCATATGTTGAGCCATCCTTGCATCCCAGGAATAAATCCCACTTGGTTGTAGTATATAATCCTTTTAAAGTGCTGTTATATTCAGTTTACCAGTATTTTGTTGAGGATTTTTGCATGAGGATTTTTCAGGGATGTTGATCTGTAGTTTTTTTCCTTCATTAAACATTTTCTCAGTTGTTTTAAGCTTTTGATTAGAGTCTAGAGTTCTGGACTGACTTTTGGAGTTCCCTAGTCTCCTCTTTTTGCTGACATCCTATTTTTTCAGTCTTAAAGGTCCTTTTTGGCTTCCGCCAAGATGGAGGCATAGGTAGACACACTGTGCCTCCTCATACAACCAAAATAAGGACAAGAATTTACAAACAAAATAGCAACCGGATCTGACAGAAAATTGAATTGTATGGAAGTCTGACAACCAAGGAGTTAAAATAGACACATTCATCCAGACCAGTAGGCGGGGCAGAGTCAGGCAGCCAGGTGGAGACGGGTCGAAGCACAAAAAGCAGCGCCTGGCAGACCCCGGGTGCGGGGTGGCAACAGGCAGACCCAGGGAAGCAGCGATTGTGAAGCGAGGCACTGCACACAAGGTGGCTGGTGGACCGGGTGGTCCCACATTTGGGTGCAGGTAAACCAGGTGGAACTGTGGAGTGAGACAGACCTCGCAACCCACGGTCCCAGCGCTGGGAAATAAGGCCTCGAAACACCGATTGAAAACACCCGTGGGTGCTGAGGTGCCTGGAGAGATTCCCAGCCTCACAGGAGAGTTTGTTGGAGAGACTCACAGGATCCTGGAATGTACACAAGCCCGCCCACCCGGGAATCAGCACCAGAAGGGTCCAGTTAGCTTGGGGGAAGCAGCGGAAGGGACTGCAGTCTGACAGAGTGGGGCAAGCGCCACTGTTCCCTCTCGGGCAACAACTGGGTTGCCCCGCCCTGGTGAACACCTAAGGCTCCGCCCCTCATACGTAACAGGCACGACAAGACAAACAAACAAACAAACAAACAAACAAACAAAATGGCCCAAACGGAAGAGCAGATCACAGCTCCAGAGCAAATGCAACTAAGGGATGAAGAGATAGCCAAGCTATCAGATGCACAGTTTAAAGCACTGGTGATCAGGATGCTCACAGAATTGGTTGAATTTGGTTGCAAATTAGATGAAAAAAATGAAGGCTATGCTAAGTGAAATGAAGGGAAATGCACAGGGAGCCAATAGTGATGGGAAGAACACTGGGATTCAAATCAATGGAGTGGACCAGAAGGAAGAAAGAAACAACTAAACAGAAAAGAAGGAAGAAACAATTCAAAAAAATGAGGAGAGGCTTAGGAACCTCCAGGACATCTCTAAATGTTCCAACATCCGAATTATAGGGGTACCAGAAGGGGAAGAGGAAGAGCAACAAGTGGAAAAGTTATGTGAATAAATAATAAAGGAGAACTTCCCCAATCTGGCAAAGGAAATAAACTTCTAGGAAGTCCAGGAAGCTCAGAGAATCCCAAAGAAGTTGGACCCAAGGAGGAACCCACCAAGACACATCATAATTACATTAGCCAAGATAAAAATGAAGGAGAGAATCCTAGAAGCAGCAAGAGATAAGGGGACAGTAACCTACAAATGAGTTCCCATCAGACTGTCAGCTGATTTCTCAAAAGACCTTGCAGGCAAGAAGGGGCTGGAAAGAAGTATTCCAAGTCATGAAAGGCAAGGACCTATATCCAAGATTGCTCTATCCAGGAAAGCTTTCATTTAGAATGGAAGGGCAGATAAGTGCTTCTCAGATAAGGTCAAGTTAAAGGAGTTCATCATCACCAAGCCCTTGTTTTGTGAAATGTTAAAGGGACTTATCTAATAAAAAGAAGATAAAAAAACATGTATAGTAAAATGACAGCAAACTCACAATTATTAACAACCACACCTAAAACAGAAACAAAAACAAACTAAGCAAACAACTAGAACAGGAACAGAACCACAGAAATGGAGATCACATGGAGGGTTAGCAACAGGGGAGCAGGAGGAGGAGAGAGGGGGAAAAGGTACAGAGGATAAGTAGCATAGATGGTAGGTAGAAAATAGGGGAGGGCAAGAATAGTATAGGAAATGTAGAAGCTAAAGAACTTACGGCACATGGACATGAACTAAAGGGGGGGAATGTGGGTGGGAGAGGGTGTGCAGGGTGGAAGGGAATGAAGGGGGGGAATGGGACAACTGTAATAGCATAATCAATAAAATATATATTTAAAAAAAACCCTTTTTTTATCCACTCACCACCACTCTGGTTCTAGTTCTTATTGCCTCACGTCAAGACTACTTTAGGAACTCCTTTTTCCCCATCACCGTTTATCCCCCCAGTACCCACTTCTATTTTAGGAACCCTGAAACTGGCCCCTGGATATACCTCCGCCTCCTTGGTCGTGTGACTGTCCTGCGGCAACAGCTGCAGCTCACACCCTTCCCCTGCCGTCTGTCGTCAGACGGTATCTTCAAGCTCTGGTTCCGCGTGGCTTCCCAGCTGTATCCCCCTGTGTCTCCCAACCCTCCTTCCGTGCAGTTCTGATGAACCCGCGTAGGTAGGCTGCGCCCACGCGCAGTTTGCTCTCTACTGCATAGAGGTGTCTACTGACGCTGCTCCCGCCCCTCCATTAACACTGCTGGGTTTCCACCAGGATCGTCCCCTACCTTCTTCACCTCTGCCGACTGAGATGCCGTTCACCCCTTAAGAATCAGCTTATATTTCAACCCTTCTATAAGGTTTTCCGTAATTACTCCAACCAAAACTAATGTACTCTTCCACTTAGTTGCCATGCCATTTTTGTGTCATTTATGTGATGTGTGTCATATATTGCTGGTGTCATTACCTGTATTCGTGTTTTAATTTGTGCATTCTTTCAGTAAGTACTTAGTACCACCCACCGTTTGCTAGGACTAAAGCGGCAAAGAGGGCGGGCATTGCCCTTAATGATCACTAGGAAAGACACTGAACAAACCAACACGTGTGATCGTTACCGAGAAAGAAAACCCCCAGTGGGGCACTAAGAGTGAGAGTAGCATGAATCCGAGTTTTTCAGGTTAAGAGTGAGGGGAGCACATGGGAGGCTGAGGGAGCAACATGTCAGAGGATTCTGGAGCATTCTGCACACCTTACCTTCGTAAACATTTACATTAGCACAGTGTTTTTAAAATATTGATGTGAGAGAGAGAAAGAAGCATCAATTTGTTGTTCCGCTAATTTATGCGTTCATTGGTTGCTTCTTGTACGTGCCCTGCCTGGAGATTGAACCAGCAACCGTGGTGTATCAGGACCATGCTCTAACCAACTCAGCTACCTGGCCATGGCTATTGGCGTAGTGCTTGATAGTTGCTGCGTAAGAAGTATGAGCATTTGCCCTGGCTGGCGTAGCTCAGTGGATTGAGCATGGGCTGGGAACCAAAGTGTCCCAGGTTCGATTCCCAGCCAGGTTACATGCCTGGGTTGCAGGCCACGGCCCCCAGCAACCGCACACTGATGTTTCTCTCTCTCTCTCTCTATCTCCCTCCCTTCCCTCTCTAAAAATAAATAAATAAAATCTTTCAAAAAGTTTGTTAAAAAAAAGAAGTATAAGCATTCATGGATGAACAGTAAGAATACAAGTAGCCTTGATAAGAAAAAGAATCCAGAGCTGAAGAGGGAAAAAAATAATTGTGAACTGTCAGGGAATAAAATCATTTAAAGTCCTTTTACGTCAGTAAGGGCGGTGGTAGTGGCAGCAGCCAACATTTACTGAGCGCTTGCTCCAGGCTGGGAACTGTGCTGAGGGGTTTAGGTTTGTCACTTTACGCCACGTTTGAATTGTGTGCTGTCTGCCCTCTCTCTCCCGCAGCGTCCTGCAGCACTGCCACGATGTGGACCTCTCCTTCCCTCAGCACCCGGAGGGATCCAATCTCTTTAGTGGTAAAAGGAGGGGAACGTTGTTCCTCACTTCATACCGGGTAATTTCTCTCCCTACTTCCGCTTTGAGCCGGTGAACGCTACCTCGGTCTGCCTTAACATGGAGCGTGGTTAACCACTGAGTTTCAAAATGTTTTAAAAAACACTCGCGTTTTGAGATTTTCCATGTTGAAGGACGATGGCAGGAAATGGGCGATGCTTCTCAGGCCCGGACGCTAGAGCAACCTTGGCCTCAGAACTGTTTTTGTGTGTCTCAATCCCCGGGCAATCTGTGCTCCGTCCCCAAAGCGTCTGTCCTCTCCTAGGTGATCTTCGTGACTTCGCAGTCGGTCAGCGACCCCCTGTGCTCTTTCATGATGCCGTTCGACCTCATGAGCAACTGCACCGTGGAACAGCCCGTCTTCGACTCCAACTACATCAAGGGAACCATTCGGGCAGCCCCAGATGGTAAGTGTTTACACTCAGAAGCGCATTTTTGTCTGAAAACCTTCCAGAAGGTTTAAGAGTCAGACTTGGCTTGTGCTGGAATTCGAACGCAAGACAGCGGCCCTGCTGCTCTGGGCAACGCTCCTCTCCGCGTCCGCGGCCGCCCTGCAGCTCCCAGCGCGCCACCTGCCTCTCGCTGAGAGTGCGCCGCTTCCTCCCCCAGGTGGCTGGGACGGGCAGGCTACCTTTAAACTGGCCTTCAGGAGGGGAGGTGCCATCAAGTTTTCCCAGATGCTGATGAACGCTGCCTCTGCTGGTGAGCAAAACCATACAGCTCTTAAGGACCTTGGGGTTTTGAGACTTGAGGAACAGAAGGAGGACTGTTATCCGGTTAGGAGGGTCTGGTCTCTGGGGTGAGACACTTGGTAGGTGCACATGTACTCACGAGGCATGTACTCACGAGGGACTCAGTAGGGAGTCCCTGCGCCTCCCTACTCCGCGCTGAGTTACAGCACCGGGTGCTGGGAACACAGGGACTGTTCGTCCCCTCCCCGTCTGGCAGGAGCTGCAGTCTGGAGGGGATTTACCATCAGACACCTGCAGCACTCGCTGTACCTGGTAATCTTTTGTCCCTCTAAATGCTGGTCTCAGATGTCACTGCCTGGTGTCTTTTTCGCTGTGGGGAGCCCCCTGCTGCCTGAGCTCCTCTCCTCCTGACCTGTCTCTTTGTCATCTCTTCTCTGGCTTCGCCTTTGTTTCCCTCAGGGTCAGCCCGCATCTCCGGGGACAGGAGGGAAGAGGCAAGCCCCAGAGCACCGCTCCAGTGGGCGTCCCGGAGCACTCGTCCACACTCTGAATACAAATAATGCTTACGATATATGTTGTTTAGTCTGGCCTCACTGCATGCCCTCTACTCTCTCACCTTTTGTACTTCAGTCCCACTGGACTTCTTCGTGCCCTGTTCTCTCATCTCCGAGTCTCAGGATACTTGCTCTGTCCGGGGTGCCCTTTGCCCTTCTCCCTTGCCTCCCACCCCGGACTTTTCAGCCCAGTTGAGACAAGCACAGGCCAGCAGAGACGGACACGTGCACACACGGTGTCCTGGGACAGAGACACGGACGAGGTGCTGGGCCGCACAGGAGGGTCGAGTGGCGTTTCCAGCTTCGACGACTGACTGGATCCTGATGCTGTAAGCCACGGTCAAGTACATGAGACAGTCTAAGTTGGAGAGGAAATGAGTTTAATTTTAGGCCCAATAACACTAGCTAACATGTATGGAATGCTTACCGTATGCTAGAGATTTCCAAGCCTTTTTAAATAGTTAAAGAGTCCCTCTTTTGCCAAACTGATCTTCTCAGCTGCCCGAGGAGCTGCACTTAGAAGTGTAAACTACTGGTTCGGCAGTCCAGGGCTGTTCGTCGTTACCGGGCAGGGGGGCGTGCTATGCAACCAAGAGATGCCTTGTCCAGGTAAGGCGCGGCGGGGGCATTCTCCCTGGGAGGCGGGAGGCGCACCAGGGGCTCGGGGGTCTACTCGCTGCCAGCGCTCCTCCAGCTCCGCTGCAGAGGAGCCTCGGAGGTCTGGGGACTGGAGAACGGCTGAGTCCATGACTTCACTTCCAGACTGAAGCCCAGTGGCAAGTCAGCAAGCTGCAGGCTTACTTTTAATTGTAACGTGCGAATACGGAACATGCTCGGGCAGGCCCCATTAGCGGGAACCTTTGCCTGCTGCCTGCGGCCAGAGCAGGAAACGTGCGCGTGCTCTTTCTCCCTCCTCCCTGCCCGTTGCGCACGAGCACCGCCACCGGGCGTGGGCCACGCCCTTCGGCCTCACTGAGGACGCCAGCCCCGGGCTTCGCGCCCTGTGCCCTCGAACGGTCGGCCCGTCCACGGCCGCTGAGTCACGGTCCTGGGAGGTGACGGGTCACCGATTCTCAAACGCTGCCCGCTGCCGACTGGTAGGCCACGAAGGATCTCCTCATAGGCCGCCTGCGGACCCCCAAACGTGGGCCCTTTCTTGGATTCTTCTTGGAGTACGACATGCGTGTCCCCTGGCTTTTAATTTTGTCTACAGCTGAAGGATGCGTATTTGTAACCTTACTAGGTACCTTGGTTTTTAAGCGTTACTCAAATCTAATACTCAAAAATCTAAAAGTAAAGTGTGGAAATTCGTGTAACATAAAAACGACCATTTAAAATGTACAATTCAAGCCCTGGCTGGCGTAGCTCAGTAGATTGAGCTCAGGCTGCGAACCAAAGTGTCGCAGGTTCGATTCCCAGCCATGGTACATGCCTGGGTTGCAGGCCACGGCCCCCAGCAACCGCACATTGATGTTTCTCTCTCTCTTTCTCCCTCCCTTCCCTCTCTAAAAATAAATAAATAAAATCTTTTAAAAAAATAAAATAAAATGTACAATCCAGAGGCACGTAGTGTATTCACAGTGCGGTGCCACCCTCAGCTCTAATTTCAAAATGTTTTCATCGCCCCGTAAAACACCCCACTATTCCCCACTGAGTGATAATTCTCCGCTTAGAAACAGTTCCCCATCGTCCCCTCCCAACATCTTTTGTTAGGCCCTGATCTGCCGTTTGTCTCTGTGGGTTTCTTATCCCAAACAGATCACATGGGAGGAGTCACACGGCACTTTGTTTCGGACCTTTGGTTCGGGGCTCGTTGACCTGGCGTGATGTGCCCGGGGTTCCTCCAAGCTGCAGCGAGTGTCGGCACTTCCCTCTTGTTGTGGCCGAATACTGTTCCTTCTCTGTGCATATCCCACAGTCCGCTCCTCCATTCACCCGCCGGTGGACATTTCACTCATTTCCATCTTTTACTGCTGCGAACACAAGCTGCTGTCAAGTCTGTGTGGAGGTCTCAGCGTGGGCATGCGTGTTCGTTTCTCCGGGGTGTCTGCACAGGGCTGGCACCACCGGGCCGCCCGGGACTCAGTGTGTCACTGGTCGAGGAGCCGCCCCTCTGTTTGCCACGGCACCCGTGCCAGTTCACGTTCCCGCCAGCGGTGCAAGGCCCTGTGTCGCCACATCCTTGCCAACGTTTGTTTTCCTTTTTGTTTTTGTGGTTTATAGTAGAGCCACCCTAGTGGGTGTGAGGGAGTACCTCGTTGTGTTTTTATTTTTATCCTCACGCGAGGATATGTGCATTGATTTGAGGGAGGGAAGGAGAGAGAGAGAGAGAGAGAGAGAGAGAGAGAGAGAGAGAGATCTATTGGTTGCCTCCTGTATGTGCCCCGACAAAGGATTAAACCCACAACCTGGGAATACATTCCCAGCCGACTGGGAATGGAACCCACAACCTTTTCATGAACAGGGTGACGCTCCAACCAACTGAGCTACCCAGCCAGGGCTCATTGTGGTTTTAATTTGCATTTCTTGAATGGCAAATGATGTTGAATATCTTTTTCCATGCTTGTTAGCCATTCGTATGTCTTCTTTGGAGATACATCTCTCCCAGTCCTTTGCCCATTTTTTCTCGGATAATTTATCTTTTTGTCATTGAGTTGTATGAGTTCTTTATATATATTCTGGATACGAATCCCTTCTCATATGTGCAGTTTGCAAATATGTTTGCCCATCAATAGGTTGTCTTGCACATTTTTGATAATGTTCTTTGATGGACAAAAGTTATACATTACAATTTTTTTTTAAAAAATGCATTAATTTGAGAGAGAGAGAGAGAGAGAGAGAGATCTGTTAGTCCACTGATTTACGCATTCACTGGTTGACTTTTGCGTGTGTCCTGACCAGGGATCGAACCCACAACCTTGGCATATTGGGATGATGCTCTAACCAGCTGAGCTACCCAGTCAGGGCTTATGTAATTTCCTTCTTGTGTTTAGTAATTTTTAAAGTTTAAAGTCTATATTTTCTTGATAGAATAACTACCCTTGCTCTCTTTTGGTTACTACTTGCATATAGTATCTTTTTCCATTCTTTTAAAAAAAATTTTGTTATCTTCACCTGAGGACATTTTTTCATTGCTTCTACAGAGAGAGGAAGTTGGGGGGGGAGAGAGCGAGAGAGAGACATCAATGTGAGAGAGAAACAGCAATTGGTCACCTCCTGTATGCTCCCTGATTGGGGATCAAACCTGCAACCTAGGCATGTGCCCCAGCCGGGAATCAAACCTGCAACCTTTCAGTGTACAGGACGACACTCCAACCAACTGAGTCACACTGGCCAGGGTTCTTTTTTTTTTTTTAAGTAAAATGTCCTATCTCATGATTTTTCATTATTTTGCTTTCAATCTATTTGTGTCTTTGTATCTCAAGTAAGTCTCTTGTACACCGTGGCTGGTGTGGCTCAGTGGATTGAGTGCCAGTAGAGGCAACAATAAATGTATCTTTCCCTCTCTTTCTCCCTCCTTTCTTTCCCTCTCTTTCTCCTTTCTCCTCTTGCTAAAAATAAATAAATAAAATCTTAAAAAAAAAAAGTCGCCCTGGCTGGTGTGGCTCAGTGGATTGAACACTGGCCTGCGAACCGAAGGGTCGCCGGTTTGATTCCCAGTCAGGGCACATGCCTGGGTCGCAGGCCAGATCCCCAGTTGGGGGTGTGTGAGAGGCAACCACACATTGATGTTTCTTTCCCTCTCTTTCTCCCTCCCTTCCCCTCTCTCTCTAAAAATAAATAAATAAAGTCTTTAAAAGTAAGTCTTCTGTACACAGCATATAACTGAGTCTTGAGTTTTTATCCTGCTGATCTCTTGTTGGAAGAGTCTTCAAGAAGGCATGGCTGCCGGTTGTCCTGAAAGCTGACCCGGGCCACTGTAAGCCTCCCTTGTCTTTGAAATGTCTGTTCTGCTTGCCTTTCCTGCTCCGAGAAGCAGCTCCGGGGATGAGGCCTTGACACGGGAGCGAGGCGTGGAGACTACCGGGACGGTATGCATGACCGAACTCAGTTAGGGCCTCTGTGTAAAACCTTCTAAGATTCGACGGGGGGTGGGGGGGGCAGTGCAGAGATCTCACTCATCTCGTGACCACCCAGGACCACCTCATAAACAAGTTCCTTTATTTGTTAAAACTGCCACTTCCTAGTCTGGAGAGGTCTGCTTGCTTCTTTGCTCTCTCCCTGCCCTCTGTGTAGGGGCACCCAGTCGGAGGTTATACGGGGAAGCTGCTGGGGAGAATGCAGACATCTCTGTCTTGAGATGGGAGAATTTAGTCCATTTGTATTTATAGCAGTCACTGTAACGGGGGCCTTTCTGTCATTTCCTGCGTACTGTCTAGCTTGTTGTCCCTCATTTCTTGGCATTGCTGTCTTCTTCTTTGGGGTTAAATTGATATTTTTATAGCAGGAAGTTTACATTCCTTTCTCATTTCCTTTTGTCTATATTTTATAGCTATTTTCTTTGTGGTTACCATGGAGGTGACATTTAACATCCTAAGGTTGTAATACTAATTTGAATGTTTACCAACTTAACTTGAATAACATACAAATACTCTGCACCTTTACAGTTCCTTCTTCATATAGGTCAGCTAATGTCACAAAATTACATCTCTATACATCGTGTGCCATAAAATACAATCTAATAATTCTTTTTAAGGCACTGCTCTCTTAAATTATGTAAAAGACAAAACATGGAGTTATGAACCATTGTTACGACAATATTGGTTTTTATCATTGCCCAGTGATTTACCTTTATTGAGATCTTAATTTCTTCATATAGCTTCAGATTGCTATTTGGTGTCCTTCCATTTCACCCTGCCGGCCTCCCTCAGGCATCTCTTGCAGGGGAAGTCTAGTGGTAGTGAACACCCTCCGCCTTTATTTATCTGGAAATGTCTTAATTTCTCTCTCACTCTTGGAGAAATTTGGCCAAATATAAGATTGTGGGGTTTTTTTACTTTTTTTTTCTGGCCTCCAAAATTTCTGATGAGAAGTCTATTGATTGTTTTTTTTTTAAAATTATTTATTTTTACTTTTAGAGAGAGGGGAAGGGAAGAAGGAAGGGAGGGAGAGAAACATCAATGTGTGGTTGTGTCTCGCACACCCCCTACTGGGGACCTGGCCCACAACCTGGGCATGTGCCCTGACTGAGAATTGAACCAGCAACCCTTTGGTTCACAGGCCCGTGCTCAATCCACTGAGCTACACCAGCCAGGGCTACTGATTATCTTACTGATGATCCCTTACATGTAACGATTCACATCACTCTTGCTGATTTCAAGATTCTCTCTTTGTCTTTGGCTTTTGCAAGTTTGATTATAATGTATCTTGGTGTGGCTCTCTTTAAGTTAATCTCCTGGAATTTGTTGAGATTCTTAGATGTTTATATTCATGTCTTTCATCAAATGGGGGAAGCTTTCAGCTATTATTTCTTCAAATATTCTTTCTACCCCTTTTTCTCTTCTTCTTGGCCTTCCAGGCAGTGTGTATGTTGGGCTCTGTCTGACGGTGGCCCACCGGCTCCTGAGGCTCTGTTCACTGTTCTTCAGTCTATTTGCTTTCTCTTCCTCAGCCGCCACAATTTCCTGTCTTAATGTTCACTGATTCTTTCTTCTGCCTATTCAGATCTAAATTTCGATCCCTCTTCTCAATTTTTCATTCAGTTTTTGTACTTTCGATCCCCAGAATTTCGTTTTGGTTTCTTGTTAGGTTTTCTGTCTTTATCAATATTTCTATTTTGTTCACACATCATTTTCTTGACTTTCTCCACAGTTTCCTTTAGTTCTTTGAGCATGTTTAAGAAAGTTCTTTAAATGTTTTTCTAGCTAACTTAAACATAAATATGGATTACAGCAAAATAACCTGGTGGTTGTTCATGCACCTGATCCAGTTAAATCACTTTGGGAAGGCAGCCAAGGCCCATGTGTATTGTAATATTAACTGGGAATTTGGAAATAATGTGTTCTCCTACCACAGGGGAACTTAGTAGTACCTATCCATACAATAAAATATAGTCCGGCTTTTCATTTATGAAATACATTAATAATACAAATAATTTTTACATAATGTCAAATAAAAAGAGCCAGATTTAAAAATCATACAGTTGTTATAATCCTGATGGTATGAACATATTAGATATTCTACAAAGAAATGCATTAAAATATTTTTTGTATTTGATCGCATTATAGATGGCTTTTTAAAATGCATCTTTTCTCCATTTTCCAAATACATATTCCTCATTAAGGATGTATTACTTTACTTCATATTCAGAACAAACTTTATTAAGTAACGGGAGGCCCACCAGAAAGATCTTTATTAAGTAAAACACATATCTCTATATACAACCAGAAGCAATGCGGAGGTATGACTGTAGGGTTGTTTTCACGCTCATTTGAATCCCTCCACAACAGGAAATGACCAAGCCGCCGACTCGTGGTGGCTGAAGGGTCTGGCTTTACTGCTATTTAGCCTGATTCTCTTCCTGTGTTACTTTCCTTTAGCATAACTGTTATCTTTTTACTCCTTCTCCCTTATTCTTTGCCCACTCTAAAAAATAAATTACTGATTTTTTTCTTTTCTTCTCAGCATACCCAGTTGTTGTCTATGGGCCCCAGCCTGTGAGATACGGAGCCCCACCAGCAGGATATGGAGCCCCACCGGGAGGATACGGAGCCCCACCAGCAGAATACGGAGCCCCACCAGCAGGATACGGAGCCCCACCAGCAGGATACGGAGCCCCACCAGCAGGATACGGAGCCCCACCGGGAGGATACGGAGCCCCACCAGAGGGATACGGAGCCCCACCTATGGGATACGGAGCCCCACCACCTGTATACGAAGCTCTGCCTGCGGGGAACAGAGCCCCACCGCCTGTATACGAAGCTCAGCCCGTGGGATACGGAGCTCCGTGGGCAGGATATGGAACCCCGCCTGCAGAATATGGAACCCCACCAGCTACAAATGAACCCCCATCTGATAGGCATACCGCTGGGACCCACAGTCCTGCAGCTGCCCAGCCTGCTGGACACGAGGCTTCTCCTCCTTCCACCTCGTCTCCTCAGGCCCATTCACCATCTTCCGAGATGTGAACCCCGAAGACTCTCACCCAGCAAAGCGGCGCCACGAAACCGAAGTCAGGACAAGAAGGGGGCTCGGGTATGTGTGTAACGGCCCTCCTCGAGTACTCACCTCGCCCTTCAGAAGGGCAATCACGGGGCGGGGAGGGGGGGGACATGGAGCTTTACTCCTGTGCCTGGCTTTTAGAAGCAGAGAGTCTACTCTCGATTAGACAGGCTAAAGAAGCGGAATTGTAGGGCTGATTCCTCAATAATGTGGTTGACGCTGGGCTGCATTTTTAAAAAGATTTTATTTATTTATTTTTAGAGAGAGAGGGAGGGAGGGAGGGAGGGAGGGAGGGAGGGAGAGAAACACTGATGTACAAGAGATACTTCGATTGGTTGCCTGTCGTGCGCCCCCAGCCGGGGACCTGGCCTGCAACCCAGGCCTGTGCCCCGGCTGGGATCGAACTGGTGACCCCTTTGCTTCACAGCCTGGAGCTCAATCCACGGAGCCACACCAGCCAGGGCAAAATGTATCTACTCTTGATCATTGGTTTTGCTTCTCAAAATCTATTCCTGAGAAATACTTGCATGTGTGCACAAAGATGCGTGTGGGAAGATTTCATTACATTCATTGTTTCTAACAGCACAGAATTAGAAATGACCTATATGTTTATTAATAGCGAATATTTAGATAAACTATAGTACATCTATGCCACATATGCAAAAACTTCTAAGTCTTATTGTTAAATGAGAAAAGCATGTTTAAGGGAGTAAGTACTACAGAAATTCTCAGTCCCATTGGACTGAATGCCCCCTGTCATAACTCATGGTTTATAACGTCTCCTTTACTTCATTGGAATGAAATTTCCAGGCAATTGCCTGTGATTCCATACCATTTGAACCAAAATGAATACAATACTATAAATTTGATGTAAAGAAGAAAAAATGGAAAAGCAGTTTGTAGGAAAATTTTAAGTATTCCAATACATAAACTCTCAGACTCCACCACACGAGGAGCCATAGCGAAGTGATCCAGCGGTAAGAGGGCCGCCCCCGGCCGGGGAGCTGCCTGGCTGGGGAAAGGGATGGACAGGGAGACCCGGCTTTTTTCGCTGTGAGCTGTATCAGGCACATGTGTGCTACATGTTTCTATCTTGAGCAATGAATAATTTTACATCTGAGTTAATAGCATGCCGGGCTCTACCTGGCTTATAACTTGTGCAGCGGCTCCTCACAGCCTTCAGGATGAAGTCCACCCTCCTGATTTTCACGTGCACGCGGATCCTGTCATGCTCCTTAGTATTCAAGGCTCTGTGCAGCCTGGCCGCCCCAGTGACCCTCCGGCTGCGGGACCCAGCCGAGCGGAACTCAGTGCAGACACTGAACTGCATGGCCTCTGCCTTCCTCCCCACGGCATTCGGCTCATCTTTTGAAACGGCTCAGAAGTTCCTCTGAGAAGCTTGTTCTGAGCTCCCCTTCTAGGGTAATTGCCTTTCTGCCAAGCTTGTATTGCACCCCCAGCATGTTTCTGGAAAAATACTTTGCCAGTGCTGTTGGGATTGTTGCATGCTGAGTTCCCCCACAACCTGTGAGCTCCTTGACAGCGGAGGCCGTGTCCCGCTGCAGAGGCCGAGCGGAGGGCCGGGGACACAGCCGTGTGTAGTTAACATTCGTCAGGTGAACGAAGACATAAATAAGTTGCGATTCTTGACTTATTACACACACACACACACACACACACACGCGCGCGCGTATACACAGCCACTGAGTTCTGGCTACAGCTAAAGACTAGAATGTGCAGAATTAGTTTTGTTTGACAAACTGTTGGAGAGGATTAGAAGCTAAAATTTCAGGTTTTAGGGAAAGCTGCCCCCTCTCTGGCCAGCTGAGGCGAGCGCTCCTGAAGGCAGAGTTATACCCCACCTCTTCCCGCCTCGCAGCCGTGTGCATGCAGTCCACACGGGCCACGGCCACCCCCGGCGGGCGGCCCCGTAGCACTCACCTGGTGTGCGAAGGCCTTTGAGCGAGCAAACAACTAATGCTATCGCTGGGTGCCAGGCGATGTGCTAAGGCACTTCATACGCATATCTCACTTTTTTAAAGATTTTACTTATTTATTTTTAGACATGGGGGGAGGGAGGGAGAGAGAGAGGGAGAGAAGCATCAATGTGTGGTTGCCTGTCACATGCCCTCCACCAGGTACCCGGCCTGCAACCCAGGCATGGGCCCTGACTGAGAATCGAACCGGCGACCCTTGGGGTTTGCAGCCGGCGCTCAATCCACTGACCCACACCAGTCAGGGCTATAAGCAATCTCACTTACTCCAGTCAAGTGAGCACTGGTAGTAGCTTTATTTTACAGATAAGCATACTGAAGCTTGGAGACCTTAGGAAGCCAGCAAATTCACAACTATGGAGCTGTGGAGGCAGGACTCGAACCCAGGCTGGCCCCGAGCCTGGGACTCAAACCTCTGGCTGAGAACCTGTCCCCTAGCGTATTCTTTTTGTCGCACAGGAGCCGGACAGTAGGAGGCGTTCCCTGTGCACGTCGTGGCCGGATCCCCTCCACACATCTGTGAGGTCCTGGTGAGTGCTGGGCCCCTTCTCCCACTGCAGGCTTGGGCCCCGGCGGTCAGAGGGCCTTGAGAGTCGGTGGTGTCAGAGGTGGTGTGGTCGATCAGACGAGGGCTCAGATTTCTGCTGAGGTCAGAAGACTAGTTCCAGGTCTCCTGCTGCTATGTAACTGCGGTATGGGGGCTGCCAGGGGCCAGAGACCAGCTGTTCTTGAGCCAGCTCAGCCGTTGCGGGAAAGAGAGGATCCTGAGGTCTTTGAGAGTGTCTCGGCCTCATGGTCTCACCCCCTCATCGCGGCCCCAGACCTGAAGGCTCCACTGCACTAACTGCCTTAGCGCTGCCCCCTGAGTAAAGGCTACTTATAAGGGATGGAGGACGAAGACTTTTCGAAGGGCAGTGATTATGAGAATTGGCCAGCCCATTTATTAGCTGTATGTTTGTGCTGAGCACCCTGCCAGGCACTTTACATGAAAAATTTAGCAAGGAGAGTGCTTGAACCCCCACCTCATAATGGAGAAATGGGCCGAGAGGGCAGCAAGTTGCCTAAGGCCAACGGCTGGCTAGTGAAGGACAGGGCGGGATCTGAACACGGGTTTCCCTTCTCGTCCACACACTCCTTTGCTGAGTGCCCTCCTGTGCTGTTACCGTGCGCTTGGGAGATCGGCGACCAGAACAGGCCCACACTCCTGCTCTTGACGGTGCTTACATTCTAGTGATACTAAGGGCCAGTCAGTATGCATTGTGTTATGTGACATAACTAGGCATATCATATTCTAACTGCAGGAAAAGCAGAGATGGTGATAAAAGCTATAAAAATATAGAACAAAGTAAGGAAGAGTAGGAGTGTTGGGCGGAGGGAGTAGTTCGCAATAGCGCCTTGGGGAGAAGGTAAAATTTGAGTGCAGGTTTGAAGGGTGACGTTGGTGAGGGAGCTGGCCACGCAGACCAGGCCAGAGTGTTCCCGGCGGAGGGGGCAGCTAGGGTAACGGCAGGTCAATTCCAAGATGCCTTCTCTTGCACCCAGCGCCTGAAACCACAGATGGCTGTGAGAAGACTCCTGTTCTCAAGGAGGGAGACCCCGAGAACAGACTGTAGGACACCTGGCGAGTGGAAGGTCTGAGTCGGTCTGCGTAAAACCGCTTGGGGGTGGAGGCCAATCTCTGGGTCCTCGTCGGGGAACAGGCCTCCCTCCTGCCTAACTAAGTCCGGAGGATAACAGAAGCTACCGTAACCGAAGAGTCTGGGGTCACCCTGGTGTTCCACCCTCGATTAAAGTCTGCCTGTTGTCGCACACCTCTGCTGTGGCCTTGGTCTCTCTGTTTCCGAAGGCATCTGTGCTGTGCACGGCCTGGCGTGGGCACCTTGGGACCGCCCAGCGGGGCAGCTGGGGCGTGCGCAGGCCCTCAGTGGCCTGGCTGGGCTCCGCACGGGCCCGGCCGCAGCCACTCGTTACCCGGTTCCGGGAGAGGCGTCTCCTCCGCGCTGAAGCCCGGTGCCACAGCGCCCCTGGACGGAGCACTTGCCTGAGTCGGGGGAGCCTGCTCTCCAACTTTGCACGGAGAAGAGCGCCCGAACACATCGCCGCGAGAGCGTGCGAGCCGACCGCTCTCTGCGGGGCCACTCGGCCGCGGGCTCCGGCTTCATGAGGATCAGCTGGGGTCAAGTGCTTAACTCCGCCTGCTCCGCGCCGCCCTGCGTTCTTCGGAGGAGTCTCGTCGAGCGGTGCACAGGTCGCTCCAGCGACAGACGGTTTCGTTACATTTTGCAAGTGTCCACCCTGTCCTGGGCCCCACCCACTCCCAAAATACGGGGTGAGAACAGGTGGGTACTTCCCTCCGTGGGGTCCCTCTGGGGAGTTGTCTGCCGCCCCCCCCCCCCTCCTGCTGGCTTGCCCTGATGGCCTTTCCTGGTCCTCAGCCCTGTTTGGGCCTTGGAGCACTGTGGGGACTACTTCGGAAATATTTATGCTCAAGCTTGGGCTTTTCCCTCGGACCCACTTCTGGCATTAGCTCTCTGGCTTCTCCCTGCGACCCACAGAGAGAGAAAGGCGCTCCTAGCTTCTGACGGAAGGGCGGTGACAGAAGTCTGCTCAGAGAAGGGACTCCGGCCGCTTAAGAAGGCCCTGTCCACTGCTCGGACAAGGGGATGTCTGCATTGCCTTTTTCTTTTTTAAGATTTTATTTCTTCATTTTTCAACAGAGGGGAAGGGAGGCAGAAAGAGAGGAACAGAAACATCAATGTGTGGTTGCCTCTCACTTGCCCTGCCACCGGGGACCTGGCCAGCAACCCAGGCATGTGTCCTGACTGGGAATCGAACCGGCGACCCTTTGGTTCGCAGGCCGGCACTCCTTCCACTGAGCCACACCAGCCGGGGCTGAATTGTTTTGATGTAGAATTCCATGTCCAGTGAAATTATCCTTCAAGAATGAAGAAGTAATTTATCAGGCAAAGAAATAATGAGTGCATTTGTCACCAACACAGCTGCCTTGCAAGCACTTTTAAAAGTTCTTCAGAGAAAGAAACTGATATACATCAGAAAGTTGGTCTCTATAAGGAAAGGAGGAGTGTTAGAGGAGGAATGAAGGTGAATCTTTTATTCTTATTCTTAATCTAACAGATGATAGTTGGTTCAAATAATAGCAGCAACAATGCACTCAATGGTATATAGTTCGTGGATAAGTGAAATAAATGACAGCAAGTTTTTAAGAGAATGAAGGAGTTGGAAATACTGTGAAGAGATACTTGCTCTATTTGGGAAGCAGCATAATGCTATTTGAAAGTGGACTTTGGGCTGGCTGTAAATGTATATTGCAAACTCTAGGGCAACCACTAAAAAAAGTTAGAAGAAAATAGTACAGATACTGTAAGAGAGGAGAGAAAATACAGTCATATAAAATGCTTAATTAAAATGAGAGAAGGCAGAAAAAGAGGGCAAGAAGAAAAAAAATATACATATGAGGACAATGGATAGAAAACAGTAAATAGCCCTGGCCGGGTGGCTCAGTTGGTTAAAGCATCAACAATAAACCAGAAAGGGTGCAGTCAGGGCACATCCTAGTTTGCGGGTTCGATCCCCAGTGTGGGTATGTACAGTAGACAGCTGATCGATGTTTCTCTTTCTCCCTTCCCCTCTCACTAAAATCAATAAAAACATATCCTTGGGTGAGGCTTTTTAAAAAACAATAAAATATATGGTAGCTATTGATCCAACCATATCAATGATCATTTTAAATGGCAGTGGTCTAAACAGACAAATCAAAAGACAGAGACTATGAGAGTGGACTAAAAAAAAAAAAAGACCCAACTATGTATTGTCCACAAGAACCCTACTTAAATGTAAAGACACATATAGATCAAGAGGAAAGCAATAGAAAAAAAACCTGGATATCAATTGCACCACCATGTGAATAGACTTAACATTACGGGACTATACAGTTAAAAATGGTTAAGAGGGTAAATTTTATATGTACTTTACCAGTTTTTTCAAAAGAGAAAAGGAATGAAAAAATGTATTTTGCTAACAAATCAAAAGAAACCTGAATAACTATGTTAATTTTACACAACACTGAATTTTTAAAACAAAGGAAAGTATTAAGGAGAAATGGCAGCATTGTATAATGATAAAAAGAGCCATTTTTAGTGCACGTGAACCAACAACAGAGATCCGGAGTACGTGAGGCAAACACAGAGAAGTGCCAGGGGAAACGGATAAACCCACGGTGCAGCGGGAGAGTTCAGCACGCCCCTCCCTCTGTGGCTGACAGGTCCAGCAGGCGGAAGTTCAGTGAGGCCACAGTAGAACTAAGCAGCAGCAGCAAACTACATGTAACTGACATTTATAAAATACATCACCTGACAACAGCAGAATGCACAGTCTTTCTTCTCCAGCTCACATAGAACATTCGCTAAGATAGAGCAGATTCTGAAGCACAGGCTCGCTCACCTGCGGGTGATCGTCTAAGACAGCATTCTCCAGCATCTCCCAGACGGGGGCTGAGGGGCTGGAGCCAGTTCATGAGCCACTGCAGGGTCCGCCGCCAGGAACAAGGTCTGTATGTCCGCCACATGACCCATGGGTGGGCAGGACTTCTCCTGGGTCCCTGGGCATATGGTGCTGGACCTCACAGCTCCCGAGGGCACTTCTGCCCTCGGACGACGGATGCCAAAGAGTGGTTGAGTGGGGGAGACACGAGGGACATCTCATTGAGCCGTGCTGCTGACATCACCACACCTTCCAAATCCTTGCTCCTTACCCTGCTTGCAGAGGGTAGGGTAGTCTCCCCTCTCTTGTCCACCCTTTTCTGGATGGCAGTGGCCTGGAGAAGAGTGAGGCCGGCTCTGGCCCTGGAGACAGCTGATGTTCAGGTGAGGATGGCAGAAAAGTCTGGATAGCACTGAAGGGGGAAAAGGAAGACTACAGAGTTATTTTGCACTGTGCTGGGAGTCTGGGAAAAGGAGAAAGTACAGCAGAAGTCATTAATTCGACATCTCACTCTGATGATCACCGGCAGTGGCGGGGAGGGCATCCCTTCCCAACGCCGCCGCCGAGTTCTGTCCTTCATCCCTCCTCGTGGGCGTCCCGGGGGCTGGAGGGGGTGCCCTTCGGGCCTGGATCCCCCTTGTCTGTGTGTGTGGGGTTGCATTCTGGGAGCGCCGCCGTCCTGTCTGTGACCCAGACCGAACTTATTCTCCAGGGGCCCCAGTACGACTGTCTAGCCATGCTGGGCTCAGCTGCCCTGGGCTTGTCCACTCCACTGTCCCCCAAGTGCTGGGCACCTTCTGGTTCCCTCTCAGGGGTATATCTTCTTTTTTAACTGTAGTAAGAATTACAACATATATTTTATCTTCTTATGTTTTTAAGTGTGTACTTCCGTAGTGCAGGCTATACAGGGTTTTCCCCGCTTTATGGAAGGAGGGTGTTCCTATGAAACTTTTCTTTTTTTTTTTAAGATTTTTTATTTATTTATTTTTAGAGAGGGAAGGGAGAGAGAGAGAGAGAGAGAGAGAGAGAGAAACATCAATGTGTGGTTGCTGGGGGCCGTGGCCTGCAACCCAGGCATGTGCCCTGACTGGGAATTGAAACTTCGACACTTGAAACGTTTCTTAAGCCACAGTGACATAAAGCGAAGAGCATCCCCTGCTTTCTGAAAGGTTGTGCCACGCCACTGTGCTTCTGTGAAACACCTGTGTTAGTACAGTAATGGCTTTTTTCATAAAAGCGAACATCCTGTTCGGATTTCTTCCGGTTAGTGAAAATAGGTACTGTACTGTTCCAGGTGTTTTGTTAAAACAAAGTGGAGTAAAACCAATTTATGGGAACTGGGAGATGCACGTACTCACTGTGGTCCAGTGGATCTCTAAAACGCTTTCATTTGCACAACTGGAACCCCATACCCAGTGCACAACTCATTTCCCCTACCACACACCCCGGGACCCTCCATGCTACTTTCTACTTCCTGTTTCTATGAAACTGACTACTTTAGGTACCTCATATAAGTGAAATCATATAGTATTCGGGGTTTTTTTGTGACTGGCTTATTAGTATAATATTCTCAGTGTGTGGCCACACTTCCTTTTTTAAAACTAACATCCCATTATATGAATATACCTTATTTTCTTTTTTTAAAAAATATTTTCTTTATTTTTATTTTTAGAGGGAAGGGAGGGAGACAGAGAGAGAGAGAGAAACATCGATGTGCGGTTGCTGGGGGTCATGGCCTGCAACCCAGGCATGTACCCTGACTGGGAATCGAACCTGCGACACTTTGGTTCGCAGCCCGCGCTCAATCCACTGAGCTGCGCCAGCCAGGGCTTGAATATACCTTATTTTCTTCATCCACTCATCCATCATTGGGCTTTGGGTTGCTTATGCATCTGGGCTATTGTGAATAGTACTGCAATGGAAATAGGTATGAGGTTTGTTTTTTTATAACAACCTCACTGATATATAATTCACATATCATACAGTCCACCCATTTTAGTGCGTACAGTTCCATGATTTTTAGTATATTCACAGATCTGTGTGGCCATCACTCGAGTCAATTTAGAAACATTTTCATCACCTCGGAAAGAACTCTTGGACCTTTCAGCTGCCAGCCCGTACGCCCCCATCCTCCCCACCCAGCCCCAAGCAACCACTGTCTGTCTGTGTGTAGCTTTTCCTGTCCGGAGCTGTTACATGAGTGGAATCGTGATACTGTGGTCTCTGTGCCTGGCTTCTTTCCCTTAGCATGTTTTCAAGGTCCACCCATGTAACATGTCCATATTTTACTCCATTTTATGGCCAGATAGTATTCCATTGTATGGTTAACCATATTTTGTGTATCCATTCATCAATTGGTGGGCATTGGTAGTATTTCTACCTTTTGGCTGTTGTAAATAACGGTGCTATAAATACTTGTTTACAACCTTTTGCGTGGACACGTGTTTCCACTTCTTTTGGGTATACACCTGGATGTGGAATTGCTGTGCCATGCGGTACCTCTGTGTTTAATCGTTTGGGGAATCAAGCGCCAGACCACCTTCCACAGCAGCCGCACCACCAGCCTCACTTTCCTATCGGCAGGTGTGGGGGGTCCAATCCACGCCCTTGCCAGCACTTACTACCCCCCGTTTTCATTCCAGCCGCCCTCCTGGGCGTGAGGTGGTATCTCCGTGTTCCACTTGCCCTTCCCTAATGGTTCGTGATGGTGAGCACTGGCCATGTACGTATGCTCCTTAGAAAAACGTCTATTCAGATACTTTGCCCATGTGTAAAAGTTTTTAAAAAGATTTGACTTATATAGAGGGGAAAGGAGGGAGAGAGAGGGTGAGAAACATTGGTTGTTGTTTTCTGCAAGCACCCCAACAGGGGACGGAGCATGGAGCCCCCAACCCAGGCACATGCCCTGACCGGGAATCGAACTTAGACCTTTCGCTTTGTGGGCAGAGGCCCAACCAACTGAGCTGTGCTGGTCAGGGCCCTTTGCCCATTTCTAATTGTTATTTCTTTTTATCATTGTTTTAAGAGTTCTTTATATATTTTAAATAGAAGTCCCTTATCAGAAATATGAACTGCAAATATTTTCTATTGTGTGGGTTGTCTTTACTCTTTTCAATGTGGGGACATTGTAGCTATGTATTTCCCTCTGATCACTACTTTCACTCCCAGGTTTTGATATGTTGTGTTTTAGTATTTTTGGTATGTTGTGTATTTATTTTAATTGATCTCAAAGTATTTCGTATGTGATGTGTGATGAGTCGCTTCTGTCTTGTTGCTTTCAAAACTTCCCCCTTTGTGTTTTGAGGTGTGAATATGATGTATCTAGGTATGGATCTCGTTGAGTTTGTCCTGCTAGGAGCTCATTGACCTTCCTGGATATGTAGGTTAGTATTTGTCATCAGCCCTGGGTGGTGCAGCCCAGTGGACTGAGTGCTGGCCTGCGAACCGGAGGGCTGCTGGTTGGATCCCAGGTTGGCACACACGCTTGGGTTGCAGGCCGGGTCCCCAGTAGGGGGCGCGCAAGAGGCAGCCACACATTGATGTTTCTCTCCCTTTCTCCCTCCCTTCCCCTCTAACTAAAATCTTTTAAATATATATATTATGTATATATTTGTCATCAAATATGGAAGATGTGAGCCATTGTTTTTCCAAATATTCTTTCTGCTCTTTCCTCTTTACATGTATGTCGGTATGTTGCATGGGGTCCCATGAGCCTCTGAGCGTTTTTCTTCCTCCTTCTTTCTACTCCTCAGACAGGCTAATTCCAGGGGGTCCATATTCAAGTTTGCTGGCTTCCTTCAGGGAAGCCAGGTGCCCTCTCTCAGCTAAAGGAAGAGGGCTTAGAAAATAGGAGCCAAAGGAAGGCAGTCAAGAACATACCATTCTTTTACTGGAAAAAGGAGGAACAGGAAATGTGTTCTAAGACACAGAGACCCTAGACTTCTCTTGGGCGCAGCGGGGGGATCTGCATCTGCCCTGCAGCCAGGGTAGGAGGGGAGACGCCAGGGGAGAGGACGCGCCGCAGGGATCCTGCGGGAGAAAGGCAGAGCTGAGCCCCCTCCTCCCACATCAGCACCCAGCCCCTGAGAGCCGCTGACCGCAGCCCTGTCCGAAGAGGCGGGATGAGCTGAAAGGTGCCTAAGACAACAGTGCCACGTTCCCTAGCCGATCGGGGCCTCGCACGTGCAGCAGAGGGGCGGGCGAGGGTGGTGGTCGTGGCCAGCAGAGCCCGTCTCAACGGGGTGGGGAAGGGACGCGCAAGACAGAGAGGGCCTGGGACTGTTGCTGCTCTGCCTCGCCGTGCTGGGCAGAGCAGGGAGGGCCCCCTGGTAAGAGGCAAGTCTGCGCTGAAGTATGATCTGCAGGTCACTTCGGAAAACGAGAGGCCGGAAGACGCCACATGTCTTCCACACGAGGCTGGATATAAACCCAGCACCCACCCTGGGGACCGCCGGGGCCCCTCGCTGGAGCTGCCCACGGCCCCAGGTCCGTGTCACACCCCTGCGACTGAAGAGCAGCTGTATCAGTGACCCCAGGGAGCCACAGGCACTCCCCCGCAGTGTCAGCCTGCAAAGCCAACCACGTGATGCATGCAAGTTCCAGACAAGAGATCAGATCTCCACTCAGATTTTAAGAAAAATTCCAAATCTTGATTTCAGAGTCCGTGAAAGGTCAGAGGCTGGAGTCCTGATGGGTACAAGGACCCCGGGGGCTCAGGAGGCCGGCCTCGCTGTTCGGCCACGTCTGTGTGGCTGTGCGGGTGAGGTCAGAGGGCAGGACGGCCCCAGGAAAGTGCCCGCGGCAGGTCTCCAGGGGAGTTCGAGCTCGGGCAGCAGGCGGAGCCTGGCCCTGAGACTGCGCGTTGGGTCTGATGGGCCGCTTCCAGGGCGGGCCCGGGCAGCAGGAAACCCCGCCCGCCCGCCGGCCCTCAGCAAGCCGGGGCTCCGCGGGCTGGGGTCGGTGCTGCTGCTGCAGCCTGTCACGCGTCTCAGCGCCTCACAGCTGCGGTCCCTCCGGCTTCCCAGTAGGGTACAGGTACCACATCACCACCCCTGAGGGGTTGATGATCACTGTGAAATTGGTCTCGGCCTGGAGGCCGCTGATGACGGCACCGGTGTAGACGTCCTGGGCCTGCAGGGGGGTGAGGGAGGGACATAAACAATGCCGCGGTAAGCATGGCCGTGCGGAGACTGCTCAGAGGACGCAGAAGGCTGGACTTCGGCCTGTCTGTGCTGGGCCTCCGGTGTGCACTGCAGACGTGGGAGCCCTGAGTCTCCCAGCACCTCCCGCTGGCACAGCCGATGGATGATGCCCAAACACGGGCAGCGGCGACAGCCCAGCCCACAGACAGCCCGAGGAACGCGCCGGCAAGGACTGGCCGGTGCGGGGAGGAGCATGGCCTCAGTGGGGACCGGGACTCGTCTACGCCCAGGGGTTCCGCTTGCACAGCGGGAAGGCACCGGTGCAGAGGACGGCACCAGCTGCGGCCCTCGGTGCCTGCAGCTGCCCCGCGGGCACCTGACACAGAACCCAGGGCCCATGGCCTAGGGGAGGCCACGTGTGAGCGAGGGCCACCCCTGGTGATGCCCTCCCGAGGAAACCGAGGGCACTAGCTGCCCGCAGAGCGCTCACCTCATACACGCCGGAGCCGCTGAAGCTGAGTTGGGCCAGGGAGGAGCGGAAGCGGTACGGCATGTCCGCCCTGCGGCTGAAGAAGACTATGGCGTAGGCGTCCCTGGCCAGGGGCCGCAGGAACACCTCGATGGAGGACTTGTTCTGCGCACAGGAGATGGCTACTGGCTGGGGTCCCTGCTCAGGTGGGCCCTGAGGTCCCCTGCCTGCCCCCCACACCCCAGCACCGCGACTTCTCTTACTCTACTTTCCCTCCTCCCCTGACTCAGCAGATGCTCCCCAACACTTACTCTGTGCCAGGACACAGAGACAGTGCTGCCCGCAGTCCTGCTTCAGAGAGCTCTTGGTATGATGGTGGGGGGACAGACAGGGACAGCTGCCGCACTGGCGTGGAGGCCACTGGCCAGCGGGACTGATCGCTCTGCCCTGAGCAGCCAGGAGCGTGAACCCCCATCCCCCGGGAGGTCCCTGGCCTGGCAGGTGTTAGTCAGTTACCTCTCTGGGCCTCGCCAGTCCCCAAGGTGCACGCTATAGGCGTGCAGAGTTCTTTTTACTAGAGACGAAAGGGTTTGTGGGAAGAGCACATGCTTTGGGGTGACACCGTTGGAGTCAAGTGTGCTGTTTACCAACCCTGGGGCCTTGAGCTGCAGTCACTTAGACTCTTCCAGTCTGGGTCTCCTCGTTTATAAAACAGGGAGGGAGATCTACCTCCTGAGAGGATATATCTAGGATGCCCAGCACACAGCAGGTGGTCAGTAAATAGGAGACGCCATGACGAGTGGTAGTCATGCTCCTTGGATCAGACAACTGGACGCTGCAGGGAGGCCCAGCGCTCTGCCGGACACCCTGCACGACCGAGCGGAGGGGCTCGCTCACTGCTCCCCGTGCGCAGGCGGCGCGGGGACGTCCCCCGCCCCCATCCTCCGCGAGCCCCGGCCCGGCTCTCGGCCAGGGAAGTGCGGACAGTCGGAGAGGCACCCAGCAGAGCCTTCAACTCAACGCAGCCTTGTTTTCGGGGGAGCCTAGCCCCTCAGCCTCCCTGCCTTCCCCGCACCCCCCAGTACCTTGAGAATCCTGCGTCCCTGGATGCCTAGGGGATCCTGATTGATTTTGATCATGAGCGGATTCTGCAGAATGTCCACGCTCTGGGCAGAGATGGTGCGCAGGTCTGTGGACATGAAGAGGGGAGCTGCCAGCACTGTCCACAGGGCCATCTGGGCCCGGGCCTGCTCGAAGCTGAGGCCGAAGTTCCCGACGAGCAGCTGGGGGCAGAGGAGAGGGGCGGTCAGCCCTGCCCCCTGTAGGGAGGCGGTCACGGGGAGCCACCCCACGCGTGCAGCCGAGGCAGGGGAAGATGGTGACGGGGAGGGCGGCCACGTGCGGGAGCCTGGTTTGGCACAAGCCACTCCCCAGCGGCGTGGCCGCGGGATGGGTGGCTTCACTTTGCATCTGAGCCTCAGCTTTTTATTCGCCCAGAAATGGGGGTGCTCGTCGTGTCATCACAGGTGGTTCAGATGGTCCAGTGCAACCCCGTGGCCGAAGGCGTTTGTGAACCGACACATGCAAGTGCAGAAACCCAGGGAGGCGGTGGCAGGCAACCGGGACCAGAGCCACACGGAGTCCCTGCCTCTGCCCGGGACCACCCAGCCGCCCTCACCACGGCGGACCCGGGAGCCGGCCCGGGCGGGACAGAAACGATCACTGCTCGCGCCGTCGTTACCTACGTGGTGACACCAACTGAAGCACAGTGTGCGTGCCCAGCTGTGCCCCGCATTCGAAAGGGTCATCCACTTCCTACTCAAAACAACCCTCTAAAGGTCACTAGTGTTCCCGTTTTCATTTTCCCTGACAAAACGGAGGCACAAAAAAACAATTAAGTCACTCTCCCAAAGAACACGGCAGAGCAGGAGCCAGAGTTCTAACGCGGGTCAATTTCCGTTCCCCGGGTGCCCCACCATCTGGCGGAGTGTTTGGTATTACGCTCATCACTGGTAGTAAACACTCGACCAGATGAAGGGAGAGCAATGGAAGCGTAAGACAAATTGCAAAAACATTTAAGTCGCCAGGGCCGTGACTGAGGTGGGCACGAGGTGGCCCCCAGTTCTGCCTGCGGACGCTCTGCGGGGGCAAAACAGCACGCCGGGCACTGCAGGGAGGGTCCGGTGGGTTGGGGGGGGGGCCGGCCAGGGAGGGGCTGGCAGGAGGGTGTGGGATACCCACGTTCTCCACCCTGCACAAGAGTCCCCACAGACCAAGTTCTCAAGCTTCAGCACAGAACTGCCTGGGGAGACGGTCAGCGAGGGGCACTCTGGGCCCCTCCACACTCTGATCCAAACGGGGGGGCGGGGCCCTGGGGACAGAATTGTAAGTAAGCTCCTGAGTCAGTCTAATGCAGCTGGTTCAAGGACACGGTTCAGAGATGCCGATCCAGAGCCCGGCAGTGAGTGACCCGTGAGAGGGCGCAGGGCAGTGGGGCGCGGGTCCACCGTGGGTGGTGGGCCCTGGGACCGCCCCCTCCACGTCTGTATACCATGTCCGGGTCGTTCCAGTGCCCAGGGCCCGCCACCGGCTGCAGGATGTCCTGATTGTCCGAAAACCAGTCCAGGATGGACAGCACGCTACTCCAGGAGTCCTGGATGTCGTCGTAGTTGCGCCAGAGGTTGCAGATGTCGGCCAGCAGGCTGTAGTTCACCTGGGTGTCAGAGGAGGCAGAGTCCGGCACCAGAGCCACACCCTGCTGCCCAGAGGCCCCCACGGGGGCCGGGGAGGCTCAGCAGGCGACAGAGGTGGGGACGGGAGAGGGCAGGCCCGAGCTTGTTCAGGGTGAGGAGGGCCTGGGAGAGAGCAGTCCTGCTCCCGGGGCTGCCCGGGCCTCCTCTCCACGCGTGCTGGTGCCAGAAGCCCACCCAGCCCTCCCCTGCCGGCCGGCTGGGGTACCAGCAACACCCCTGCTGCGTACGCACCCCGTGTTCTCACAGTGAGAGTCCCGCCCTCTGCCCGCACTCTCCCCCAGGTCCTCAAGTCCGACCCCACCCCGTCTAGTGTCCCAGGCGCTGAGGGGCCCCCGGTGAGGCGCCCACAAGGCCCGTCCGAGGCACGGCCCCACCTGCCTACCCTCAGCAGCCTCCTGGATCTCCTAGCCCACTCAGCGCAACCCAGATTCCGACCACTGGATGGCTGCCGTGGGTCGGCACATCACACGTGGTTCCCATGCCTTCAGCCCACGTAACAAGTGCCTCCTCTTCTCTAAGACCCTGGGCTGGCTGAGGCCCCCACGGGGGCACTCAGGGCCCTTTCTCAAGACCTACAAGTCAGCCGAGTGGGCAACTGCGGCGAGAGCAGCCCCCACTCTGCCCAGGAGGTGAGGAGACCGGGTGTGGCGAACACTGCCAGGTGGGCGCACGGAATGGCTTACCTGGGGGGGGAGGCCCCCTTCGTAGGCCGGCCAGCTGCAGGAGAAGGCGATGGGGCGGCCCGTGGCATTCAGGGCCGCAGCCATCATGGGGTACCCTGGAGGAGCACAACACCCCCCTCTCAGGACCGAGGAGACGCAGGAGGCAGCCTGGAGCCTCAGCGCAGACCTTCTCCCACCACATGTGAGGAAACCGGGGCTCCACAGAGGTGCCTCCCCCTGCACCCAAAGTTGCAGACCTTTCCGAGGTGGGGCACGGCGCCAGCCCATCCTTCGGGGGCCTGGGAGCCCAGCCCGCCCAGCCCGCCCAGACCCTGGTGAGGGGAATTAGGGAACACTGTGTTCCAGGGGTCACGCAGACAGATGAGCTCGGCCAAGTGGGCACTGGGAGGCCTCCCGCGGCCATCCCCGCCTGTCTCCCCTGTGGCCCCCAGACGGCCGTGGGCCTCACCTTTGGCGTGTTCCTCTGGGGTCGAGAAGCAGCCGTCCAGCTTCAGCATGTCCACCTTCCACTTGGCAAAAGTTTGAGCATCCTGAAGCACCTTGTCTAGCGTGGTACCTGGGTAACCCATGCAGGTGAAGTTGCCCAGGTCCTCATAGATGCCCAGCTGCAGGCCCAGGGAGTGAGCCTGTGGGGAGAGCCGAGGACACCGGAGGGTCAGGCCCCCCTGGCCAGTCCCCATCAAGACCTCCGGCGGGGCCCCGGTGCCCAAAGGAGAGGGTCTGCACTTGCGGGCAGGCCTCCCCAGACCCCTCCAGCGCACACCCCTCCTGCGGGCTGTTTCTTGCCTCTAGGCCTTTGCTCCTGCCATCCCCGCTGGTGTCAGCTCGAGAACTAGCTCCTCCTCCAGGGAACCTTCTGAAATCCCTTTCTGGCCCTCACCCGCCACTGGGAGCCATACCTAGCTGCGTCTTTCTATCTCCCCCTCAGCCTGAGTTCCGGAGCGGGGACTGCGGAAAGGGAGCCCTCCGCAGGGTGGGGTGGGAAGAGCCGGCCGGCCCCCAGGCCGAGGGGCAGGGCTGGGGCGGAGCTCACATAGTCAGCGAGGAAGGCGATGCCGTTGGGGAAGCGCTTGGGGTCGGGCACCAGGTAGCCGTTGGCGTCACGCCCGCCGATCCAGCAGTCGTCGATGTTGAGGTACGTGTAGCCCAGGTCCCGCCACCCGTCCTCTGCCAGCCGGTCGGCCATCTCCATGAAGAGCCGCTCACTGGAGAGAGGGGCAGGGGACGGGGCAGCTTAGTGGCCTGACCCGTTCCGCACCCTCGGCGCCTTTCTCACAGCTGCTCAGGCAGGTGCTCTGAGTGTGAGTCCAGGGCTCTGGCCTGGCTGTCACCTGAAGACTGAGCCAGGTAACGATTATAAATGACAACAGGATTGTTGTTATGAGTCCTAAGCTGCGAGAAGTTGAAAGGAATGGTCTGGCCACCGGGCCGAGGGGCAGGACTGAGCCAGGGGAAGCACCGTGAGGTCTGCCCGGGCCTTACAACGATCTCCTTTGAATCATCTCAGGGGTGGGCCCCCTGGAAGGTACCTGCCCCACAGCCTGCCTCACAGAGGCCCCAGGCAGGTCAGGCGTCCCAAAAGTGACCAATGGCCGCCGTCTCTCTGGGATGGGAGGCGGGGCACTCTGACCCTCTCCTCCCTGCCCCCACTCTGCAAGGCCTGGGGCAAAGCCTGCGGGGTGGCGGTGTGGACCTTCCTCACCTGATGCAGTTCTTCGGGTCCGCATCACAGTCAATGTTGCAGCGGAAGCGTTCCCAGGCCAGCCAGCCCATGGGCGGCGTCCGCAGGAGCCCATTCTCCAGCGCCAGCACCTGGTCCGCCAGGGCCAGCAAGAGCACTGGAGGAGGGTTGTTGGGGGATGAGTATGAGTGACTCCCATGGCCCCTGCCCTCCCCGCCCACGGCCCACGTGCTGCTCAGCCCTGCAGGAGCTCCCAGCCTGCACAGAAGAGGAACAAGTCCCGGGCTGGGGGCGGAACTGGCCCTTCCTGCAACCGCTGGCTCCTGCATGTGGCGAGCAGGCTGATGGTGGTGCCTGGACGAGGGCAGTGTGTTTGAGGCCTGGGTCCTCACGTGCTGTTGCAGCCCCAACTGTGCTAGAATTAGCAAAAACTAATAGCTGAGGTCATATCCTTTGCATCCCCAGACCAGCCCCATCACACAGAACTTGACAGTACACTGTAGCCAGATTCCGGTCTCCTGAGTCTCATCCAGGATGTTTGTTCTCCATCACAGACCCCCCAGAGGCCTTAGAAGAGCTAAAGAGGTCGGCCAGGTGGGCTCTGCACCCAGCCAAGTTTGCCTGGGACAGCCCTTTGCCTCTTGGGCCTCAGTTTCCTAATCTGTAAGATGGAGTTAATGTACTGACTTCACAGGGCTGTTCTCAGCACATGTTATCACCTAAGGTAGGGCCTAAGGTAGGGCCTCTGCACTGTGGGGGAGAGGGGATGAGAAAGAGAGAGACCCCTTTAGAGGGGACCTGATTCCTAGGTGGGAAGCATTTCCCTCTCTTTTCCACGCTCAGCTTCAAGAATAAGAGGAACCTGTCTCCCCACATCTCCACAGCACGGGAGGAGGCCCAGGCACCAGAGGACTGGACTCCCTCCAGGTGGCCCCATTCCCAACTGGTCCCCTACACTCCCAAGGCCACGCCCTCCCACGTAGGTTACCTGTCTTCCACAACATTGCTCCGGACTCAGCGTCTCGGGACCTGACCAGCTCTGCTCTGCTTGCACCAGCTTTACGTGCCGGGTGTTGGAAGCTGAGAAACGTTGGAAAAGCACCGCAGTCACTCCTGCCTGGCAGCCCCGCCACCTTCAGCCCTGGGCGTGGATCCCCAAGCCGCCCTCACTATCCCCACCCATCACTTCTCTTCTTCCTCCAAAAATACTAAACGAGGTTTCTTGGACTTTAGACCTTACCCCTTTTGCAGTGCTGGGCGCCCCGAGAGTCGAGGGCAGCCCTCCCCCCCGGGGCGGGGCCAAAGAGGAGCAGCCCTGGCTCCGGGACGTTCAGGAAGCGAAGCTCTAGGCCCAGACCGCGCTCCGGACTCTTGCCGGGTCTGGGCTGCACCCTCTGGCCGCCACAGGCAGCAGGGGAGGGCCCAGGGCCCACCCCAACTTCACAGTGCCCCTTCCCTTCTCACCTGCCGACCCCCTCCGACCCGCCGCTGCTTCAGCTTCCCGAGCCGCGAACCGCTGCGATCACCACATTCTCCCGCTGCGTTCCAGGGGGGCGGGCCTGACGGCAGTCAACCTTTCCCGTTCGAACCTATCAGAATCCCCATAGCAACGCCGTGCCCCGCCCCCTGTGCGCCACACGCTCTCCGAGCCTCCCAAAGCCCCGCCCCCTTCGGGCTCTCCGAGCGGCGCGTCGACAGTCTAGTCGTGCTGCCTGCCCTGTCTAGCTTAGGTCCCCTGGGGCTAGGCATTTCTCGTCTGCGGGTCCGTGTGTGCAAGGACAGTGCCTGGCACATCCTCCCCAAACCCTTAGCGGAGGATGAACAGGCCTGGGAAAAGAAGGGGTGGGGGAAAGCAAACCAGGCGCAGCTCTTGCAAAGCCAGGAGGCTCTCTTTTCCTACGGGACACCCGATATGCTAGCCCAGGCACTCTGCACTTTTCTTCCCAGTTTCATTCATCAAAACTTTACTGACCGACTACTAGGGCCAGACACTTCATTTCTGGCACTTTCACTCGGATGGGCACGGGCATCTCACACACAGCCGGCCCCAAACCGAACACCTGCCCCCTTCCGTATCTCAGGTGATGGCACCTGTCCTTCTGGGTGCTCAAGTCAAAACCTGGGAGTCCTCCTTGCCTCCTGTGTCCCTCACCCTCCACACTCAGGCTCTTCACAAGCCCTGCAATCTCCACCTTGAGCACGCATTCTGAATCTGGCACCTCCCTGCTTTCCCGACCCCATCACGTCCAGCCTAGTACGGCGGCTTACGCCTCACCCACATGTATTCTCTCCTTGACTGCTTCTTTAAAACATAGCTCACTCAAGACCCACCCACACATTGTCTTCACCTCCCACGGCTCCCCCACCCTGCCGCACCGCAGCCCAGCCACACCCGCCTCCTTGCAGTTCCTCAAACACAACAGGCCTCAAAGCCGTTGCACCAGCTGCTCCCTCTGCCGGGAATGCGCTTCCTCCAGGTATTGGCATGACTGGCCCCATCATTTCCTTCGAGTATTTGTCAGATGTCACCGTCTCAGTGAAGCCTACCCTGATGACCCTATTTAAAATTCATCCTCCGCACTCCCACAACTCCCAGTCTCCCTCGCCCTGCTCTGCATCTTCCACACCACGTATTACCTTCCTCTAACACAATGACTGTGGCTTATATTGGTAGTTGAGTAAAACCTAGTGAGGAGGACAGATAATGCGCAGGAAATAAAAACGTGAGTGCAGGCGAGTTTTGTGGAGTGGTTAGTGCTACGATGAAAATACATTCCGGGGAAGGGATGGACTTGAGGGTGGGCGAAGGGGGTTTAGAACAGGCCCCCCTAAGATGTGGCATGTCGATTCGTGTGAGCTGAAGGCGATGGAGACCCTGTGGGTTCAGAAGAAACCCTGTGCCCCCTCAAACTACCTTGCCCTTAGTAAGAGTCATTACCAGAGATGTTTTATGGCCTCTCTGTGTGGCAGGGTATGCATCAAACTACCGAACATCCGCTCTCCCTATGGATCTGCGGATTCTTACTGATCCCCTCCCCTTTGACATTCGTCAGCTCAGAGAGTCACACATACTTTATTTTTGCCTGCCTGTCTCTGAACCTCTGTGTGCGTGGGCTCTCTGACCCTCTCCTGTGGGGGGCTCCTGTGCCTATGAATACAGTGAAATTCGGTTCTTTTCTCTTGTCGATCTTTCTCCTGTGGATTTAATTATTTGAACAGCAGAAAGGAGCTAGCATGGCAGAGGAGCATTGCTTTCTCCCCACACAGGCTTCTTTGGTCAGGGAGGGGATATTTGGGCTGAGACCTAATTGGCGGGAAGGAGCCCCGAAGCGTTAGAGCCCAGAGACAGGGATGAGAAGGAAGAGCATTTGGGGCTGCAGGGCCTGCCAGGGGGAAAGCTCTGAGGTGGGAACCAACAAGTCCTGGGACAGGGGGGTTTGAGCCCACCGGCTCCCAGGGCCATCGGGAAACCTTCCACCCCCTGCATTTGAGGGGAGGGGGAGGGGAGAGGAGGTAGCAAACATTATACTCGGAGACTGACTCTGTTTTTTCCGACAATTTATTGAGCACAGGTTCATTGTGGGAATTATAATTTCACAAGCCAAGATCATATCTCTTAATAAACCAAATAAAGGAATAACAAAGTCCAAATGACAGAGTAATCACGCTGTTGCTCCAGGCAAGGGAAGGTGAAGGAATAATGCCCAAATTTAATATGAGGTGTGCCTCTTTACGTGAGGACACACTCTGGAGAGTCAGCAGCGACCAACCAAAAAGCTCATTTCCGGCTGCCAGTGCAAAAGTAAAAGTCCCCTTTGGCGAGAACGCTGTTGCTAGAGAACCAAGGGGCCAGTATGAGAGTAGAGCGCTGAGCTGCTCTGAGCATTACCACTTCTGAGACCCCTGCAAAGTTGAACACCACAGCCCACCAAAGAGTCGCCTTGGCCACTTGTAGGAGCAAGTGCCTCAAGGGTCTCTGGAGAGTGTGTAAGTTATGGAAGAGTCGCTTTGCCCCAGCTGAAACTCTCAAATAGTCCTCACACTCTCAGTATATGTAGGAAATGTCCTTTTTTCGTAGTCAGCCGGGTTGCTGACGGCTTGTGAACGACAACAGATGTGGGATGATGACATCCTGGCACGACTGCCTTCACACTTCCATAAAAGCAACTTTTGTTGTTGTTCGGTCATAAACAAATGGATTAAACCAACCTCGCTTAAATCATAAGCAAGTGGGTTGGAAATATATTAACACCCAACACACGTCTGCCTCCCTGTTGGACGCTTGGGGATGGCGAGTCGGGGTGGCAGGCCAGGCAGGGGGAGACACACGCGGAAATGGATAACCCCCGAAGCAAGGACCTGGCGACTCCAGGGGCCCAGATGAGTGGCCTGGAAGCTCGGCCGGGCCTTGCAGGCTGAGTAGGAGCCAGCCCAGAGGAGGAGCGGGGGCGAGGCCTCCCAGGCTCCGCGCTGCGGTGAAGTAGGCGGGGCGGGGCAGGGAGAGCGGGACTGGAATAAGAAGAGACGGACGCCGAGCCCTCGCGCGGAGGGGGGGGGAGGGGGGGAGAGGAGGGCGGGGGGAGGCTGGGGGTGGAAGTTGGAGGATAGATAACTCTGAGGACGGCGGACGGCCTGCAGTGGGGCCCTGGGTTCGAGGCCGCCCGCCACGGACCTGCTCTGTGGCTCAGGCAGGTCCTGGCCTCTCAGGCCTCAGTTTCCCTCCCGCGAAGATCGAGGGGCATCTTCGGGGATCCAGGCCTGGTGAGTCCTGGACGGGGCGGGTGGAGGCTGCAACTCGAGCTGCCCAGGATCTCCCGGCTCCCGCAGCCAAGTTCGCCGCCCCGTGGAAGCGCAGGGTCCGGAGACGGGGTCACCCCGGGGGGCTGCGGGAGCCAAATTCTGCGGGCCACTCTCTCCTGGGCTTCGGCGCGCCGGGCCGCGCGGAGGAGAGGGCCAGACGGGCTCCGGGAGGAGGCGGCCCCCGGGAAGGCGTGGCCCGCGGGGACGTGGCGGGCCGGGGAACCGAGAGAGCAGCGGCGCTCTGGGTCTGAGGCGTGAGCCGGGGAGGTCCCGGTGAAATGACCCCTGTTTCAGTGCCCACCACGGGGGCCACCGACCGGTCGGTCCCATGACCCATCCTGCCTCTTCTCCAACAAAAGAATCCGGAAAAACACGGTGCACCAGCCTCCCGCCCAGTGTGCGGTCCTGGCTTTGCAACCTTGGGAGGATTTTAGGGGGAAACACGCACCCCCAGGCACGCGGCAGGGGAGGGGGGACAGATCCGTGGTCTCCCGATCCCCTCTCTGCCCCGGGTGCTGGGCCCAGGACCGCGGTGAGGCCACTCCTCCAGCAAACTTCTGTGATCAACGCCGCGGACTCCCTTTCTAGCCCGGCCCCTCCCCCACCCCAGGGCTCTGCCAACTTCTCTCCCGGCCCCTGCCCGGACCCGTCCTTACTTTATTTACTATTCAATTAATTTGTAACTCACTCTTCATTATTTATTTTTGTCCGTTTGTTTACAGCGTGTCTCCCCGTCCGAACGTAGGCTCCAGGCGGGAGAGCCTTTGTTCTGTCTGCTCCCGTACTCCCAGTTACTTCCACAAACACTTCCCGCGGGCCTCCCAGCCCTGCAGGGGGCGGGTACTGAGACTACGGCGGCAGCCTCCCCTAGTCCCTGTCCAGACGTTCTGGGGAGGTCTTCGTGGAATGAAGGACATCGGAACAAGGGGGTTGTGGCTGGGTCATCTCTGGCCAGACCCCCCGCGGGGGTCAGAAGCAGTGTAGGTAATGTGATCAGGGCAGGCCTCTCAGATTAGGGGATTTGAATAAAAGCCCACAAAGAAACTAGCTGAGTGACAAGTGTGAGAAGGAAACGCAGGAAGTTATAAAGGCACTTGACTCTGACCTAGCCTCAGAGGGCAAGGCGCTGAGGTCTGAATAGTGAAAGTCAAGACAACAGGACCCAGCCCATTAAATTGCTCCTAGGAGCCTGGCCTGGGCAGGTGGTTTAGTGTGGGATTATGAGAGGCCTGGGAAGGCTTCCTGGAGGAGGAGGTGGTTTCACTGGGCCCCAGAGTTAAGAGTTTTCATCATTTCAGAAAGCTTGACTGGGTGTGAGAATTATTTTGCAGGCGCACTGGAAATCACGTGGTCCAGTGGTTGAGCCTTGTGGCTAGATAAGAGAGGCCCCAACCTAGCCCAGCAAGTTCTGCTGGTAAGGGGGCCATTTGCAAGACCTGCCCCCAGAAGGTGTGAGGGAATCGAACCCAGAGACCAAGCTCTGCTTCTACGGACCCTGTGACCTTGTGCAGTTCACTCTCACTCTCTGGGCCTCAGTTTTCCGTGGGTCAGGAGGGTCGAGCCCTGGACGTTTGACCCCAGGGCTGGCACGAAGCGGCCCCCAGGTTAGGGGATGCTTTAAGCACGGTGGTTTTTATGGGCGCGGGGTCCATTTTCTCTCAGCAGGGCCTGTTTCTTTGGAAGTTTAAAAAGCTGTGTCAAAACCCTGCCATAACTCCTGGTCTGACGCAATCACGTTAGCCTTTTCTCTGAGTCCTCTGACGTCCGGTGTTTCTCATGACCCTCCCAGCAGCCCTTGGAGAGAAAGGCAGGGGAGACCAGCTCATCTCACAGGGGAAGCCACTGCGAGCCTCCAGGCACACAGAGCTGGGGCCCAAGCCTCCGCCAGAACCAGCGCGCTCTTCCCCACAGGGACACAGCGGCCGCCTCCCTGCCTCCCTTTCTGATCTGTGGCCACCTTTCTTGCCTCACAGTTCCTATGGGAGCCATGAAGCTGAACAAGAGAAGCGTGGCCCACTACGCACTGAGCAACTCTCCCGCAGACCACATGGGCTTCCTGCGCACTTGGGGGGGCCCAGGGACCCCGTCCACCCCCAGCGGCACTGGCCGAAGGTGCTGGTTTGTCCTCAAGGGCAATCTGCTGTTCTCATTCGAGAGTCGAGAGGGCCGGGCCCCCCTGGGACTGGTGGTGCTGGAGGGCTGCACCGTGGAACTGGCGGAGGCTCCGGTGCCAGAGGAGTTCGCCTTCACCATCCGCTTCGACGCCCCTGGTGTGCGTCCGCACTTGCTGGCAGCTGACGGCCCCGCGGCCCAGGAAGCCTGGGTGAAGGCGCTGTCCCGCGCGAGCTTCGGCTACATGCGCCTTGTGGTGCGTGAGCTGGAGAACCAGTTGCGGGATGCCCGCCAGAGCCTGGCCTTGCACCGCCACTCATCCTGGAAGGCCATTACCAGCCACTGTAGGCCCCAGGCTGTTGACCACTTGTCTCGGGGTCTGGAGAAAGGCTACTCCCTCTCCAGGGATTCCAGCCCCATGGGCTTGGCGGAAGTGGCCGGCAGCGCGACAGCAGGGCGGGGCTTGGCCGAATGTGAGTTACAGGGCCCTACCAGCCTCCTTCTAAGCAGGGGCCAGAGTCCTGTATCCCCTGAGACCTCTTGCTTCTCTACCCTGCACAACTGGTATGGCCAGGAGATCCTGGAGCTGAGGCGGGGCTGGCTGCAGAGGGCCCGGGAGAGCCAGCCAAAATGTGAGGAACCGGATAGGCCCTGAACCTGGACCCTTTGGGTTCTGCCCTTGTCCTGCTGGTCAGGACATGAGGGCCAATTCTTTTTCAGGAGTCTGATGTTTACTCATTTCCAAAGTTGATTTTTTATATTCTTTTTTTTTTAAATTTTTATTTTAAAGAGAGAGAAAGGAAGGGGGAAGAGAGAGAGAGAGAGAGAGAAAGAAACCTTGATTTGTTGTTCATTTATTTATGCATTTCTTGATTGATTCTTGCATGTGTCCTGACCAGGGATCAAACCCGCAACCTTGGCATATCGGGATGATGCTTTACCCAACTGGCCAGGGCCAAAGTTCCTTTTTTTGCTGAGGGTTCCCTGGGTTCCAGATCTACCCTCATGCCTGGAGTGGACCGAAGAATCATTACTTGTAAACTCTATTTTCCCGAGGCCCAGAGAGAAAAGGTCTCGCTCAGCAGTCACGGAAGGAGGGCCAAGTCTCCTGACACTGGGCTGGACAGCCCCCTCTTCGGGAATATTAATGAAATGGAGAAGGTAGGGAATATTACGTGCCTACAGACCACCTTGCCTTCCATCTACATGCCAAACTCAGCCACAATTTCCAACATGGGGAGTCCCGTGTACATTTAAAAACCAGAAGTTAGCTACAGGGTTGGTTTCAGACTGACAGTAAAAGAGAAGGTGGATTTATTATATCACGGGGGTCTCTGGGGTTCCGCTCTTCCTGATGGTGGGAAGATTGGACATGTGACCCCCCCACTCTACAGTCTGGAACGGCTCTTTGGTGGGAGAAGGCTATCAGCCAATATAGAGGGGTTTATTCTGCTCAGAAAGTGTTGGGGACCCCCTCCTCTCTCCCCCTCTCCCTGATTATCCAGTCAACAGATGGTGCTAGACCTTGACCCCGGAGGGACTGGCAGCTTTTATGTCAGAAGAAACCCTTACTGTGTTCTGTCCGCAGTAGCCAGCCCTTGGAGCTGCCAAGTGGGAAGCCGAAAAAGCGATGGGCAGGCAGTGTGTTCCCCCAGGGAGTCCGTTTTGTGTTGGTTCTCAGTCCTGGGCATTCTAGGAGCGTTGGCACAGGATTCCTGGTGCCCTGTCATGAATTCTTCTCTCCTGCCTGGGCTCCCAGAGAAGTCTTCCTGCTTCTGGAACCACCTGGGCACTCGTCCACAGTCCTGCCTGTCATCCAGCGTTTCCCTGCCTAGACCCTCTCATTGCTACTCTCCCCAGCAGGCCAGGTGTTTTCTTTTTCAATTGTTCTGGAAGGCAAAGTGGCTGGCTCCATAGAGCCAGAGAGGCCAGACTAGCCTGATGCCTGTGGACATGGTGACAACAGCTGGATAGAAGATGCAAAGCCCGGGCAGAGGATACCCTCGCCCCCAGTGCGCACAGTCTGTTCCTCTCTCCCGTGCTGCCGCCCCAGGCAGCCTGACGAAGGCCCAACTAGGGCTAGAGACTGAGGCTCAGAGCCTCTTGAGGCTAGGAGGCTGAAATGCAGGGCCAGGGGCCAGGACCGGTTCTTTGCGTGTTTCCAAGGAAGAGGGGCCACTCTCCCAGCCCTGTACTGGAGCTCCCCAGCCCACTGCCCCGTGTTTTATACAGACATTCCGGGATTTCATCTTTCTTATTGTGACAGTATTTTTTGTATGATTAAAACACTAAGCTTTTTATTACTCATTTCGGTTACTTAAACTTATTTTTTTTTAAAGATCTTATTTATTTATTTTTAGAGGGAAGGGAGGGAGATAGAGAGAGAGAGAAACATCAATGTGCGGTTGCTGGGGGTTATGGCCTGCAACCCAGGCATGTACCCTGACTGGGAATCGAACCTGTGACACTTTGGTTCGCAGCCCGCGCTCAATCCACTGAGCTACGCCAGCCAGGGCTCAAGCTTATTTCAACAATCACATGAGGGCTGCTCAGCCAAGCTCTGGCTGTCCTAGATGGGGAGCAATGATAGAAATCTGAAGCCTTCCCAAAATCCGTACTAGTTCACCGGCCCGCCTACTAGGCCTGGAATGAAAGGGAACTGGGGCTTCGCCGTCGTCCTCGTGACGTCACGACGTCGGGCGGGGCTGCGACAACTGCCTCCCTCCCACCGCTACGGGGAACTAGGCGGGCTGCATCGAGTGTGAGGCTGGGCCTCTCGCCTGCTCCCGAAAGCCTCGCGAGGCTTCACGCAGCGTTCTTTCCGAGGGCGGTGCCGGGGCCAGGCGCAGGGACTTGGGGGCCAGGAATGGCGTCCGCAGCGGCTCGCTGGCTGGTATTCGCACCCGCCCGATCCGTGGCTCTCCGGAGGGGACCGACCTCGAAGAAAGATGGCGGCATCTCCGCCGGACTGGGCGGATCAGGTCGGAGCCTGGTACCGTCGAGGTCAGTCATCGTTACTCGCAGCGGCGCCATTTTGCCCAAGCCCGTGAAAGTGAGTGTCTGCCTGGAGGCGGGGCAAAGGTGCCGAGGCCAATCAGGATGGGGAATACGTTCGGGTCGGCTTTGACTTGATAGGAGCAAGGGCCAATCAAACGATGGCCTTAGGCCGGAAGACGGATCAAGGATAAAATTTTGCTCTAATGCGCTAGTTTTGACAGGTGGGGAGCGGTGGGTGTAGGTCCAGGTGTTGAGCGTTTAGAGACCGAAGGTGGGGGGCAAGAACTGAGAAAGGTGGCATTTTGCACTATCCTACCGTGAGGAGCGCGGTGTCAGAGTCCATCTCCGGAGCCAGAAGACTGGGCTTTGTGCGTCCAGTATATTGTGCGTCCTCTCTGCTCTGCCTGCCTCCGAGTTGATGGGCTCAAATAACGAATTACAGAAGGACTTTGTAAATGAAGTGTACCTGGGACGGGTCTTCTCTCTTTTTTTTTTTAAATGAGTTTTGACCTAGTACTTAAATCATGTGATTTGCAGTCCTGTGAGATGTGCACGGGATGATTACGATCATTGTTTTTACGAATGGAGAAGAGTGTGTGTGTGTGGGGGGGGGGTGGTCAGAATGGTGAAGCCAGTGTCCCAAGCTAGCAGCTGAGTTTGGTCCAAGGATCCAGGTTTCTTGCTATTACAGCCCCAATCGGGTCCTGTTCTTTCCACCACTAATGCTTTCACTTGTCCTCAGTAACCTGAGGCTTTCTAAGTAAAATGTAACAGTCACGTTTGCTTTTTTGACCCCAGGACTGCGTGGGAGTTAGAAAACAAAAACTCTGAAAAGCTAGACGGCTGGCCTCTGCTAGTTCACCCAAACGAGTGAATTCGGGCTGTTTCATAGCAAGAAGCAGGAAGGTGTTTGGGAAGAGATGCGTTACGAAAAGGCATAGCTGGTAAAAAAAAATTTTTTTTGAAACTCCATAGGAAAATACGAAAGGAAATGTTGAGATTTTATGCAACACCCAGACCACTTAGAAAGTTAATTTTTCAGTGTAAAGACATGCTCACTTTTCAAAACACAGCTGTTTCTAAAATTTAATGTGGTGAAGTCACATTTCTCAGTCCCCAGGAAACCTGTTATTTCCAGAACTCGGTAGAATATCCCTTCACTGTACATCTTTCTGTAATCCATTTTCATGTCTCGAGTATCTTCAAGTAAAGCTGAACTTTATTTCTGTGGCCCAGCCCTCTCCGTACTTTTTCACCCATTTGTTTATAGGTACCTGCAAGTAATTAGCAGGTTGTGCCCCTATTTTTAGATGCCTGGAGTGCCTTCATCTTTTCCTTCCGGCATCCACTCTGATGCCATAACATCACTTTATCTCTTCTAATTTTTTGTGCTCTGAATCTTCCAAGGGCTTTAAAATCAGGTTGCTTCCGGAGGGTCTGGGGTTCTTAGAGGGAATGACCCTGAGAGGGCCAGGCCTTCTGCCGTCCTGCCACCGTGGGCCCTGGGGCTCACGGCCTCCGCTCCGACCCTCTGCAGATGTCCTTCGGCCTCCTCCGGGTGTTCTCCATCGTGATCCCCTTTCTCTATGTCGGGACGCTCATTAGCAAGAACTTTGCTGCTCTGCTCGAGGAGCACGACATTTTTGTCCCAGAGGACGACGACGACGACGACTAACGGGTAAGACCTGCTGTTGCTGTCCCCCAGCGAACCGGGGGCGGGGAGGGTGGAGAGGCTGACCCGATGCGGTGCGGCCCGGTGGCAGGTGGCAGGCAGCGTCGGGGCGCTCAGCGCGGGAGGTCAGAGTTTTAGTGAGTTGACGCACTTGGTGGCTAATGTTTTTATTTTGCCTTTTCGCTGTGTTGGGTGAGAGGAACTGACGTATCGACTTACAGATTCCCTGCGGTCTCCTCCAACTAGGTTGGACCCCAGCCAGCCTTTTCATTCGCCCTTTAGGTGCCCTTATTCTGTTCGCCCCCACATTTTTCTCGACAATTAAAAAATTGTCTTTTAATCCTCACCTGATGTTTATTGATTTTAAAGAGAGAGAGAGAAACATTGGTCTGTTGCCTCTCATATGTGCCCTAGTCAGGGAGGGAACTCGTAACCATTTGGTGTATGGGACGACACTCCAGACCCCCCGAGCCACCCAGCCAGGGCTTTTTTTGGGCAATTGGATATGCCTTACACAGCCACCGCAAACAGCTCAGTGCAGTGCTCCACACTGAATTTGGAAACGGCAGTTCTCACCACGGACAGCCATGGTTACCAAGCTCTGCACCAGCATGGCCTGGACACGGGCACCACAGCCTGGTCACCACTGCCCCCAAACCCTTCCCCCCCCAGTGCCCGTCCCATTCAGCTTTCCTGTTGACTTCCGGTGCTCTGGTATGTGCTGTGCGGCGGCGTCACCATCAGGGGTGAGGACACCCCTGATTCTTTCGTCTGGCATTCAAGGCCTGGCATGTTCCGGTCGCACCTGTTACTCGAGCCTCATCTCCCGTATTCCTAGCCGCACGCCTACCGCCAGTGTTCACCATTCCTCGAATTCCCATGCTCTCCCTCACTCCCAAGCATCGGCTCCTCGTTCCCCCCACTTGGGGGGCTGTGTCCCACCGCGCTGTTCCCACCAGTTCCTCATTGTCTTTGAGGGTCTCCCCACATGCCTGTTGGAAAAGGACTGTTCCCTCCTCGGACTGGTCGGCACCTCTCTGGTGACGCTCAGTATTACGTGTTTATGCACATACACTGCCCCCCCCCCCGCCCACCCCAACTCTACTAGACAGTGAGCTCCTTGCTGGCAGGGAATGTGATTTTATACCTTTGGGCCCCCAGTGCCTGGTCCGTGGCGAACGCTTAGTAAGTGTGTGAGTGGACAATGAAACTGATTCCGAACTGCCTGTCCCCCATGCAGGGGAGCCCCTCTGTGGACGTCTCCTCCAGCCTGTGGATGAGGAGCTGCTGTGCTGCCCGGTTCACTGCGCTTTCCTTCCTTACAGGCCGGGAAGTGCGGGAAAGAGCGAGCCCTAACTGAATTAAGAAACGGTGATGCTTACAGCTTCTCCTCCCTGCCTGCCACAGAAGGGGCCAGGGCAGCCTCCTGCGTGGTCCGTGGCCACAGCCCGAGTCCCAGGCTCCGGGAGGGCCCCTGAGCGGTGCTGTCCACGGAGCACAATCAAACGATGAATAATAAACATGGTAAACGTCGGTGGTGTGTAACTGAGTGGCGGCCGGAGTCTCAGCACGAGTAGGTTGTAGCTGTTGGTTCCTTGTCTCTGCTGTGCGTTCTCCGGCAGGCCTTTGGTGTGCAACCCAGGGTCTCCAGGCCCACAATTATGGGGGCCTGGGGCCTATTTTCATTATTTACAAAACCCAACAGAAACGTTTCCCTCAGTGAAACCCCACAGGTGAGCTAAACCCTCAAGCTTTTTGTGTGTGTTGAGTGACACTAGCTAATTGTCACATGGCAGTCAATCATGGAAGCTTTGGTTGGTAGTTTAAAGCTACTCGAAAAACACTAAAATGATTCTTTCAAAACTTGGGTCCTTAGTTGAAAGGATAATAAAAGGGTTATTGGTGCTGAAAAATTTGGAGACCCTAAGGGTGACTGTAAATACTGAACCCCTTTTCCAGGATTTAGACAGTCTAGGGAAGGAACAGACGACTGTCATCCAAACAAAACAGATCCGTTCTTTAACCTGGGCCAGTATCTGTTGTGTCCCTTTAAAGCTACACCCCTTTGCAAAAGCCAGTTGGAATGTCTCTGTTCTCTGTGTGCGCTGAACATCTGTGTCCCCAGCGGGGGGCCTAATTGAGGAGGAAGTTAATTCCGTCTTAAGGACCCACGCTTGTTGCAAGTAGAGGGGCTAGGCCTCTGAGCAGCCGTGTTCTTCAAAGCCCGGGGAAAAACAGCCAGGCTCCTCCGCGCCACCCCTGCCCCTCCCCCGCCGCCGGAGCTGGCTGCCTGTGGCCAGGCTGTGCCGGACCCTGAACGGGCCAGTCCTGGAGGCTGCAGAAGCGCAGCTACATACGAAGTCATCCAGCCTCCTATCCAGTGAGACAGTTTCTGAACAGATGGCCTCATCTTTCCTGTCTATAACAGCGAGGCTCTGAAAAAGAGAACCCAATTTAATTTACAGGAAGCCCCACACCGCGGGAAACGGGGACAAACAGGTGGTGTGCATACCCCGGACCCACTCGTTCAGGCAAAAAGTGGGGCCAGAAACGGAGCTTCCCATTGGCTCTCCGGTGGAATCCTATCGTGAAGGGACCATCACACACTGAGTTCATTCGTACATACTCTGGTGTATTTAAATATCCACACGCACATTCCCACTGAACAACTTCATGGGTCGTGGCCAACGTAGAACTTGGACAGAAAGTCCTTTGGCCTCGGCGCTTCTGTCTCGTGGAAGAATCGCATGATGTGTGTCCGCTGCTTCCACACGTTAATCGTTTCCTCCAGCTCCATCTTGCCCTGTGGGAGCGAGGGAGAGGCCTTTAGTCAGATGGTCCAGTGACGGGATACAGCCCTGAAGGCCGGCCTTCTGCTTTCTGCTCTGGCGCCGACCAGAGTGACCTGGGCGAGGACACACTCGGTCCAGACCGGTTTCTGCATCTGGACAAGGAGGGGTTGGCCGACATGACCTTTGTGGCCTTTCAAACACTCTGTGGCTGACTGTTCTCGGAGGAGAGACTTCCAGGTCAATCAATAGGCTCCTGCTCCATGATGCCTAACCTGACTGGCTTAACTTGTATTTCAGCTTAACACGCTAAAGCTCCTTCCCACTGGTGCCTGTGTGACTGGTGAGAGGCAGAGGCAGGGCCAGGATCCGACCCCATTTACTCAGGACTCGGCCGACCAGCCTGCTGCCTCTGGCTGTAAGCTGGCAACCAGGTGGAGCCATAACTTCTAGGAAGGAGGTTAAGAAGAATTCAAACTTTAATGCCTACACCTTATTTTTCAGTTATAAAATGCACGCCCCAGTGGATTTTCCCTTGAACAGCCTTACAGTCTATTTAACCAGATGATAATCTCCAGGTTCCTTTGAAACACTAGGCAACAGTTGCTAACCCAGCCGTTGCTTTTTAATCTTGGAAACAAAACATCTACCTGGGAAGACCGAAAAGCTCTGGACAGGTCTTTCGAATCCGCCAGGGAAGGCCAGTTACCTTGATGACCAGGAGATCCACCACGCGGGGGTCTGTGACGTGGGCATTCTTCATAAACATTTCTCGGACTTTTTCCCGACCCTGCTTCACAGAGATGTCCAGCTGGAATAAGGTCACTAGAGAAAACATGACACGGGGGAGGAGTTTTATGGTTAAGGCATGTTTTGTGTTTAAGTGAGTCAGTGGACAGTCATCAAACACAGGCAGGTTGCCCACCCGCTGCACTCCCCAAGGGCTGGCCTGACCCTAAGCTCGGCGCTTGAGGCCGGGAAGAAGTGTGAGATGTGGCGCTGGCCCTCAGGGGGCGGACGTTTTGTGTGGGGAGACGAGACCGGGACAGCGTAGTTCAAGTGCATGAACAACTGGGCTCCAGTTCCAGGCCTGGCCCTCCCCAGCCGTGCGGCCCCCTGCGCGTGGGCTCCCCCGTGTCCGAGTGCATGTACGAGTGGGATGAGGACAAGAAGAGCCCACGGAACCCCAGAGCGGCTGTGAGGGTCTGGGACACAATGCAAGATGCTCAGAACCGTGCCTGGCACGGAATGAGCCCTCAGTGAGGGTCAGCAGCATCATGATGTGCAGCATCTGGCAAAAGACGAGGGTTGACATCCGGGAAAATGATGTGGTGTGGGTCTGCGCGCCACGCAGAGGCGGGGGAGGGAGGCTGCTGAGGGTTTGTGCCGGGAGGGAGGCTCCAGTCCAGCCGGCAGCTACCATGGCAGGTTCCTGGGGGGGGGGGAGAGAAGTTTACCATGCAGGTCCTGTTCTCGGTTTTAAATTCTAAGTGGAGGGGCTGCTACCTATGAATGCAAACATGAATCACAATATGCAGCAACCCCTGATGAAACCAATGCCTAAAATAGTGGCACAAACTCCATGACCTGGGACTTCAGGTGATGCACAGGGATGTCCTTTGAAAATTAGGTTTTAGCCCTGGATGGTGTGACTCTGGATCGAGCATCAACCTGCGTAACAGGAGGTCGCTGGTTCAATTCTCAGTCAAGGCACATGCCTGGATTGTGGGCCAGGTCCCCAGGTGGGATGCGCGGGAGGCAACTGATCCATGTTTCTCTCACACATTGATGTTTCCCTCCCTCCCTCCCCCTCTCTCTAAGAATAAATAAATAAGATCTTTTTAAAAAATACAGTTGGTGCTCTATTAAGGAAAGAAATATGAGGAATCTTCCCCTGCTATCAGTACAACCCGCCCCTGAATTTTTATACTAGATTCCTGTCCGCCTTGGGAGCAAGGTGCCTCCGGGCGCAACCAGGGAGCGGGTCCCACCGCTCCCACGTCTCACAGCCTGCGAGCCCCACGCCAGGGCGCTGGGCGTGTGAATCTCCCCCTCAGGAGAATGTCACGTGCACGGATGCCAAGTTTTGCCTACAGTGTGAGCTCCCAGGGCCCTGATGCCCATCCCCCCGCTCAGCAACGCCTGTCTCAGGAAAGGAGCTCTGCAGCTTCGTCCTCGGCTCGTCCCTCTCGTCCAGCCTTGAACACAACCCTCCACGAGTGAGAAAGGCTACGGCCTTCCGAGTTGTTCTTTGGTCTAAATCAGTGGCTCTCAAACCAATAGTGACTGTGCCCCCCACGCCCCCCACCAACCACCACCAATATTCCAATACTTGGCAGTGCCTGGGGGCATTCTGGCTTGTCTCAGTCGGGGGGAGAATGCAATGGGCACCCAGAGGGTAGAGGCCAGGGGGTGTGTCGCAAACATCCCACAAAGCCCAGGGCAGCACCCAAAAGCAAAGAGTTATCCAGCCCAAGTGTCGCTACTGAGAAACCCCAGTGCAAACCAGCTCCACCTGTTCCCCACCTCCTGCTCCTCCCTGCAGCCAGAAAGGGTTCCGGGCGCTCAGAAGTATTCTGCTGGGGGAACACTATGTTCTGAAGCCTCTGACCTGAGACACACGCTGCACGCAGTGACTTGCTGCAGTCACCGCCCGCACCCGTGACCCACCTGTGCCCTGGGGGCACCTGCATTTGCAGTCCTTGGACCAGCCGCTCACTCACGCGTCTCCCTCCCTAGCGTCCTGTGTGAGTTCTGGTCGTCAACAATATCTCACAAAGTCAGCTCGTGGGCAGGGACCCTGCGGAGCTGTCCCAGCTCCTATCCGTCAAAGAGCTCCTTCAAGGAGTCTTCTGCTGGGGTGATATCAAATGTCAATGGTGATAACAATAACAATAAAAACAACGGTTGTAGCCAACATTTAAAGCGTACCTAAGTGCCAGGCCCCATCCTGAGCCCTCTAGATATTAACCTATTTAACGGTGACTCTCTGAGGAGAGTACTATTATTAACTTCATTTTACAGATGAGGAAACTGAGGCACAGCGTGATAAAATAACTTGCCCAAGGTCACACAGCTACTAAGGGGCAAGGCCTGGAAGCAAGTCCAGTAACCATCACATTCTGCTCTTTAAACACAGGCAGGCACCTGGCGCTCTGCAGGGGGCTAGGGTGCGCCAGCTAGCCTAAAAACACCTTCCTTTCCTCTCAGACCAGCGTGATGGTCTGCATTGAAACACACTAAATCAACAACATAAAGTAGCCAGTCCCTGGCACTGTCACTGGTTGCCCTTGACAGGTTAGATGGGATTTCTCCCAACCTTCCTTTCAGCAGGTGCACTGGGTGGGAAGCATTGAGGGCGATGCCGTGATAAGAAAACCAAGTCTCTGCACCCCGCAGCTTATATTTCAATGCATCAGGTGAACAGATTGGTTTTCCGACATCTAAGGGATTGCAGGGGTTCTGAAGTCGCAGAGGGCAGGCCAGCAGGGGGTGGAGAGGAGGAGCTCCCGAGGATTACTGGGGCAGGTAGAAAGACCAGACGGAGCAAGACCTGGGAGACTGAAGGAGGGAGAGGAAGACATCTCACTGGAGGGGCTGCAAAAGGCATCGCTGACCTTGGGACAGTCACCTCCCTTCTCTGGTTCAGTGTCTTTTTTTGCGAGATGTGGGTACCAGATGATCGCCCAAGCCCTGCACCCACTTTGGTTATACAGGTCATCTAGAAGCGTCTGTAAATATACTTAGTAAGGCTCGAGTGGACTGTGGGTTCCAGACCCACCACGGGCTAGCTTTGGTCCTTGGGCATGTCACTTCGCCTCTCGGTGCCTCAGGTCCCTCCCTATAAAGTTAGTATGTCACTGATAGACCCTGCTCTCCCTCCAAGGGTTTCGTTAAGAATCACAGCAGAACATGGGAGCCGAAGCGCCGAGGGCGCCTGGAAGCGCCGAACGGATGCTGGACACGGCTGGTCTGAGCCGGGCGCCGCTGCCAGGGCGGGCCCACCAAGAATCGGGTGACCCTCCTCCCCTGAAACACGCGGGACCGCCTCTGCCCAAGTTGGTGACCTCAGCTCGGCCCGAATGAGAGCGGAGGCCAGGGCGGCTGCGACCTTGAGCGGCTGCCTGCGGAGTCCCGCGTACGCCGATGCCTCTCACCAGTGGTCGGCACCTCCCGATACCAGGCGCGGTACAGCTCGCGCACCCTCCGCTTGGCCTCGTTCATGTCTCGACTGAAAATGGGCTTCACCGAGGTGCTGGCCGCACCGGCAGCCCGGCGGAGGCCGCTCGCCGCCATCTTGCTACAGAAACCACTTCCCAGCCCACCCCCTTACAACCCGCTAGTGCGGCCAGAGGACGAAACTCTTTTCTCATTGGCTAAGCTTGAAAGCCACGCCCCCTAGATGCCGTGGGTGGGCGGGAGGACGGCTCTAGGGCTCTCTGATTGGCCAGGAGGCCTCGCTCTCTGGAGAGGGAGAAAATCGGCTGGAGGCTGCTCGCGCTTGTCAGCAGAAACGCACGCAGGTAGGCGGGACGTCCCAACTTGCCTTCGCACGGCGCCGCCAGGGGGCGCTCGGGCCCCAGGCTGGCCGAGGCCGTGCGGGCGGAGGAGCTGCTTGCTCCCTGCATCCCGCGGCGCTCTCATGGGAGCGCCGGTCCGCGCGCAGACCTCGAACTTCCCCGCTCAGCTCCCGAGCGCGGGCCGCGGGCTCCCAGGTGACAGCTGAGACAGGTAATGGCGCCCGGACGGCCGTGGCGCCCACGTAGCCCCTCTGCGGCGTGACCGCGTAGGGTTGAGGTCTCCTAGGTAGTGGCTCCCGAGTCTGGGCTGTGCCTTTCACAGCATCTGTACAGTATCTACCTGTGTAACTCTGCCCCGGTCCAGGCTCCTGCCTCCTCTAGGTGTAACCTCTATCGTGAATTTAGTATTTAATATTCCTTTTCATTAAAACAAAAAAGGAGCCTCCAGAACCACCCACAAGCTGGAGGAAAAAATTTGTAAATCTTGTATTTCGTAAGGGACTTGTAGCTAGAATACATAAAAGGTTCTTACAACTCAATAATAAAAAGACAGTTCAATTAAAAATGAACAAAGGTGATACCAAATGCTGATGAGGATGCGAAGTAGCAGGAACGCTCATTCATTGCTGGAGAGACGCAGGATCACACGGCCACTTTGGAGGACAGGTTAGCAGCTTCTTAAAACAAAGTGTTCTTTTTTTTTTTTAAGACTTTATTTATTTATTTTTAGACGGAGAAAGAGAGGGAGTGAAACATCATCAATGTGTGGTTGCCTCTCACATGCCCCTCACCAGGGACCTGGCCCACAACCCAGGCATGTGCCCTGATTGGGAATCGAACTGGCAACCCTTTGACTCGCAGGCCAGAGCTCAGTCCACTGAGCCACACCAGCCAGGGCAAAACAAAGCATCCTTAACGGGATCCAGCAGCCCCCACTCCTTGGTGTTACCCAATGAACTGAAAAGTTATGTCCACGGAAAATCTGCAGTGGGTGTCTGTATTCGTGATCGCCAGAACGTGGAAGCAACCAAGGAGTCCTTTAGGAGGTGAGTGAAGACATGAGCAGCAGTGCCGGCAAACAATCGGGCAGAAAGAAAGGAGCTATAACGCCATGAAAAGACACAAAGGAAACTTAAGTGGGTGTCACGGAGTGAAAGAGGCCAATCTGAAAAGGCTACACACTGTGTGATTCCAGCGGCACGACACACCGGAAAAAGGGGAAACTATGGAGACGAGGAACAGGTCATTGGCTGCCGGAGGCCGGGAGGAGGGCGGGGCGAAGAGGTGCCGCACAGAGGGTCTTCAGCGCAGTGAAGCCATTCCTTATGACACTGTGATGGTGGATACGTGTCTTTATACATTTTTCCAGACCCACAGAGTGAACCCTAATGCGAACTATGGACTTTGGGGGACAATTATGTGTCAGCGTAGGTTCGTTGATGACAACAAAGGTATCACTGTGCTGAGGGATGTTGGTAGTGGGGGAGGCTGCGGGTACCTGTGTGTGGGGGGAACAGTAAGGTGTATATGGAAGTCTGGGTACTTTACCCCTCAGTCTTTCTGTGAGCCTAAAACTGCTGTAAAAATTATTTTTCAGGTAAGCAAAGGATTTGAATAGCTGTTTCTCCAAATTAGATGTACCCACGACCAATAAATACACAAGAAGACATTCAACATCATTAGTCATTAGGTGAATGCAATTCAAAACCATGAGATCCCACTCACCAGCTACAATGCCTAGGATAAAGAAGACAGACAGTCGTGCTGGTGAGGATGTGGAGGAATCGGGACCCTTGTACAATGCTGGTGGGGGTGTAAAACGGTACAGCCACTTTGGAAAATTCTGGTAGTTTCTTAAAAAGTTAAACATAGACTTATTATGTGATCCAGAAATTTCAATTCTCCGTATCTGCCTAGAACAAATAAAAACATTTGTCCACACAGACACATGCGTGTGAATGCTCAGAGCAGCATTATTCACGATAGCTAAAAATAGAAACAACCCAAAAGTTCATCAACTGGAAGGACAAGGAAAAAGAAAGGGTATAAACAGAATATGGGACATCCACGCAGTGGAATATTCTCCAGCCAGGATAAACCTTGAGAACATCACGCTAAGTGAAAAGGGCTAGACACAAAACAACACATGTCCGGTAATTCCATTCATACGAGGGGCTCGGAAAGGGCAAACCTACACCAGCAGGAAGCGGGTCCGTGGTTGCGAAGGGTTCAGCGTGGAAATGAGGAGTGAGTGTAGCGTGAGGTTCCCGTGTAGACCAACGGAGATGCGCTAAAATTAGCTTGTGGTGCCAGCGCACGACTCTGTAAATACACTAAAATTCACTGACTCGTGCACTTACATGGGTGACGGATACACTTTACGGCCTGTAAATAATATCTCAGTTATGCTATGGAAAAAAAATGGTCTCTGGTGATTTTTCAAATGTGTAAAGTCCATTTTATTTACTTTTTTAAGTTTATTTTTAGAGAGGGGGAGGGGAAGGAGGAAGAGAGATATCGAGGGGCAAAGGTTGCCTCTGCCGTGGGCCCCGACCAGGGACCCGAACCACAACCTCGGCACGTGCCCTGACCGGGAATGGAACCGGCGATGTTTTGCTTTGCAGGGCAACACCCAACCAACTGGGCCACATCCGTCGGGGCAAGTCTAGTGTAGTGCTTTGATGATACTTTCTTGCTCTCATCGCTTTAAAAAAGCAAAATGTCCTCTTTGTCCTTAACTAAAAACAGTGCTGTTAGGAAATCGGGAAAGGACAGCACAGTAAGAAAGTAAAGACCCTCCGCAGAATCAGAGGCGATGGGACGTACGTACAGGGCAAAGAATTCAGAGCCAGTCCCTGACATCAGTTACAAGCCGTCTGCCAGGTCACCGTGAGCATGAGGCTTCCTTCTCCGGGGTGAGTGCCCAGGGCGGCGGCTGCTGGGTCAGGGGCGTGGTGCATGTCCAGTCAGGAGACGACCAGCTTGTTTTCCAGGGCAGCGGTCCCACCGTCCTGGTCGCACGGCGTGAGTGAGGCCCGGTGTCCCCAGGCCCTCTTCTGCCCGTGCCAGAGCAGCTCTTTACGTGTTAGCCATTCTGGCAAGTCTGTGGGGTTGTCTGGTTTTCATTTCTGTTTCCCTAACGGCTCGTGGTATCAAATGGCCTTTCACTTGCTCACTTCCCATCGCACAGTCTCCGGAGGGAAATGTCTTTGCATGTCTTCTGCCCGTTTGCCAGTTAGATTATTTGTTTACCTGTCAGTTTTTGAGAGTTCTTTATACGGGGTGGGCACAAGTAGGTTTACAGTTTGTGTGGAAAATGATACAATAATTAGTAAATAATAATACAAGAATAAACTTTCTCATACTGACAACTGTAAACCTACTTGTGCCCACCCCCTGTATCCTAGATATGAGTCCTTTGTCAGACATGTGGTTTGCAAATATGTCCCCCACTCTGTAGCTTATTTTTTTAATCTTTCCAACAGGGTCTGCCTCAGAGCCAAAGTATTTAATTTTGGTGAAAGCCAATTTATCAGTTTTTCCTTTTCTGGATTGTGTTGTTTCCGCCAGACCTAAGGACCCTTTGCTTAGCCCCAAGTTCAGAAGATTTTCTGTGATTTTTTAAAAAAACTTTTATGTTTTATATTTAAGTACATAATCTGTTTTTAGTTACGGTAATTTTTGTAAAACCTGTTAGATTTAGGTCAAGGGTCCTTTTTTTTTGCCTATGGACATCTGATTTCTCCAGAGCCATTTGTTGAAAAGCCAGCCTTCCTCCACAGAATAGCTTTTGTACCTTTTTAAAAAGTCAGTTGAGCCCTGGCTGGTGTGGCTCAGTGGGCTGGGCACCAGCCTGCAAACCAATGGGTCACTGGTTCGATTCCCAGTCAGGGTGCATGCCTGGGTTACAGGGCACATCCTCGGTTGCCTCTCAGGCAAAGGATATTTCTCTCTCACACTGTTTCTCTCCCTCTTCTTCCCCCTCTCTTCCCCTCTCTCTACAAATAAATAAAATATTTTTTAAAAAGTCAGTTGAGCCTATCAGCTGGTGAAAAATTCTTAGTTGTTTTTTTTTTTTATCTGAGAATTTCCTGATTTCCCGCCAGCATTCCTGAAGGATATTTTCATTGGGTATGGGAGTCTGAGTTGACAGTTTAAACTTAAAAAAACAAACAAAACTTGTGTGTTACTTCCTTCTGGCCCCTGTGGCTTCTGATGCGTAATCAGCTGTCATTCAAATTGGTTTTGAATGACGAAATCAGGGCATTGTTTTTCTCTGGCTACTCTCAAAAGTCCTTTTTTACTTTAATTTTCAGAAGTCTGTGAAGTGATGTGGCTTCGTGTGGACTTGTTTGAACGTAGCTGCTTGGGAGTGGCTCAGGGACTTGGGTCTGTCACGCTCCTTACAAGATTTGGAAAGTTTGCTCTCAGTGTGTGCTCGGCCCGCCCTCTTCCCCTCCTTCCGAGGCCCCGCCCACACGGCGCTGGGCCTTTTCCCATTCGTTTTGTCCTCAGTCCGTTTTCTCTGTTGTTCAGATGGAGTCATCTCCACTGTTTCATCTTCCCGTTCACTGGTTATTTTCTCTCTTTTCGGCCTTTGAGCCCATCCACTGAGCTTTTTATTTCGATTATTTTTCTAAATTTTACATCTGGTTCTTCCTCACACCTAATGTTCCTCTGCTGAGACTGTTTTTGATTTTGTTTCAAGCACGTTCATGATTGCTTGTGGAAGCGTGTTTCTACTGTCTGTGTTAAATCCTTATCCGATCATTCCGCCACCTCTGTCACCTCGCTGTTGGCTTCTAGTGAGTGTC